ATTTCGATAGAAAAATCATAAATTCGTCGATATAAAAATTATACCTAGACGATTTTCGGGCGAGACTCGTTTTGACCAAAGACATTTTAGTTATTATAAAAATAAGTTTTTAAATAACCACGAGAAGTGAAGATGCGAAACGCAATATGTATTATATTATGCTATTCGTCGTCGCGGCCACATAATATCTACCGACGTTATAAAACATATTTATCTTGCTGTCGAATTAACAACTTGATAGACAACTGTCAAAAGTTTCCACGTTGTTTTTAGTTAAGTAGATGACGTATAAGTTGTAAATAGTAGTATCGAGTTCGAGTTATGTACATTTTTACTTTCAAAATCAATATTAGTACGATTTCGCTTCGAAAAAACGTGAGCACAGTCGAAATTCGTTGGCGATGTATGAAACGTATATGTGCACCTTATACGCGTCTAATATCACTATAATTATAAAGTGGTGAACGAAAAGAACATGTATTTAAACTCCGAGTCTGGTATTGAAATAATCATAATTCGCACAATGGACAGAAAAAAATCGTCGAATTTTTTTTTTAAAAAAACCAATGATTCGCGGGCGCGCGTAAAAAATAAGACGTGGGAATCAATGTTTGAGAACTTTTAAGTTTTAAGTAGATCGAAAATAAACATTAATCGAAAACGCGATGTCTGCATTTTAACATTTGGCCATGTACTTACCTAATCCAAGTAGTGTAAGATTCTTTGTGTTGTTCTGCATTGTTTAACATAATTTTCATATTTTAATGTTAGCCGTATTATAGTCGTGAACCAACACATTGGTAAAATTCACAACAAGGATCCTTATACGGCTCATGACGTGCGGGGCGTACTTATACAAATAATGCATATTATAATTATGCATATTCTCATGTATCCACCAGCGGTCCTCAAACTTTTTGTCACTCGACACCTTCACGCGTCCCATATACAGTGCACATAATATAGTATATAATTATGGGCGAAATAAAATAATAACTGGCGCTAATTATTATACACCGGTGATTTGCATTTCCGAATAATTATTTATTCTATAGTTATAGTTTTCGATAATTTGAACGAACTGTCGGACGTTTTTTTTCCATGACTTTTATTCGGAAAAATTTTCGTGTTTTTCTATAATAACTATTCGTTCCGTAGAAACCATTAAACAGTTAAACTACCTATTCAAATAGCTTTTAATCTGACAAATATTTAAAATGGCTATTCGCTTATGTGCGAATCGCTTTTTTCGTCAATTTTCGGAAATATTTTTCGTTTTATAATTTCGTCTCATGCAATATTTCCCCCCCCCTCCTTTTTTTTCGGTCTAAATCGCACATAAACATATGTATTTTGAAAATTTAATCTTGTGTTAAAAACGACACAAAATTGACTTAAGCCCTTCTTCCACGCGGGACCAAAGATATACTGGAGGCCCGAGGAGTCTTGATGTACTTGCATTATATTTTGGTCACAATAATAAAATATACATATATTTTATATTATAAATACAATAATAATTTATATTATTATGTGTGTAGTTTTTACATTATGTTATTCCTCGTCATTGCCTTCCCAGTTATAAGTGGTGTAGTTGTGCCGTTCTTGCGCAAAGCTGCGAATCGCTGTTCTAGACCGTTCAGTAAAAAACGATCGTGTTCTATTTCACTTCTAAAACACAATCAGACCGCCACTACCGTCGAAACACGCGTATATAATAATATACAGGGTGATCTTTCTGTTTTAATATTTTCAGTCGTTACATAAAATTGTTTAAAGACCTTGTTAACATAATCCTATAGATTTCAGGATATACTGTTTGTGAGTAAAGTTTATAATCCATAACTGCGGTTGAAAATTTAGAGAGGAAGAGTATTTACTTATTATCATCTCAAAATAGATACGAAATTTGTTACCATTCTCTATATCTCCAGGCTATAATTCAAATGTTCATAACTTATAGACGGTCGTAATACTTCACATTAGTGTTATACGCATACAAAAATGTTTAGAAAAATAGTATCTTTTCGAAATCTGCAGGTTTGGGAACGGTGGAGGTCGTCGTTTAGAAATCAAAAGTTGATACTTAAGGTATAAGGTGTTAAGGATTTCAATCGCACGTCCATCCGATGATAAATCATCCGTTGACTTTTCAATTAAATATTTGCTTTGACGATTCACTGTCATTTTTTACTCGCATATAGCTATGCGAGTACATTGATCTTAAGAGGCTGTCAGTGGCGTTTGTAATCTCTGTCTTTCTAAAGGTCAATAGGGCTAAAAATCTATTTACGTAAAACAAACAAAACGGCTTTTAAAATCAACCAAATCGGGTTTAAATACAAAACAAATACAATTCAATTTCCAAATAATAACATTTTGTACATTTTGTAGACAATCTCATCAAAGTGTTTTTAAATATTAATTATTCAAAAAGTTAGTTAGAAAAAAAAAAATGAAAAATACGATTGTTGCACTTTCAAATTACGATCTGAATAGTTGAAGAACTGTAAAACGTCGAGGTTGTCTTCAAAATATTGTCATTTGCAAATTTTATAACAGTTGTTTTTTCTTTAGCCCAAACCTATTTTAAAGGCCTTTTCGTTTGTTTTACTTGAACAGATGGTTTGCTGTATCGTCCGTTAGGAAAACAGACTGAAGACTGCGATGCTATGAATTTAGGTTGTCAAAACTGCAGGACCTTTCACGAAACTATCGTGAACTTGCGGCAATCCCGAGCACAGATATAATATTGTAATAATATACAATATACAGAATACACGTTGTTGTATAAATCATGCGTTTTAATATTACCCATTTGGCATTTACAATATACTATTATTTGCAGTTAATTATATGTTATTAAATACGGTTAGACATTAGTAAGTCGTTTGATATCTAACCTAGTAATTAACTTCGAGTATATAAATAACTAAACGTATGATATTGAACGACCAGACACCGAACAACACACGCACACGTTCTCCCGCTGTATACCGGACCAACATATCCACTCAGAACATTTTCCTCGTTTCCGTGATACTCTCTTCGTGCGTGTCTCGCTCCGCGTAAATAAAATACATTTAACTGCTCAACAATACAACGTGTTGTTAGTTCTTTATTACTTTCCTTAAACGCAACGACATCAACAATCGTAAATGTACTCGTACTGCAGGTATGGACCTTATTAGTTATTGCTAATAACTAACGACTTATCAGTTTATTACATATTATATGATGCACATTGTGCTTAACATTTTTCCTACTCTCGTAGAAGATAATAAGTAATCTAATCGATCAGCAGGGTTAAATCGTTTCATATTCCTTTCGTCGCCCCCCCCCCCTGTTATTTGATTTATTACAATTTACAATGTATTGAAATGAATTAACGCCGAGTAATAATTTGACTATCACGCGTCATTGGCTGCGAACGGCACAGACTAGATAACTTGGAAATTTAACGTGGTTTCAAATGTTATATTCAGATAGGTACTCATACACCAAGAATTATTTATGCATATTTTTTATTATTAACTAGCTGCTCGTGCCAATTTAATTCGCTCCATACCCATTTAGTCGACAAATAAACCGGTTTCACGAGGGATTACACTTCTTCCAAATTCATCGATCAACAAAAACAAAACTACTGTAGTATTCAATTTGATATTATATAGATATTCTTATCCTTAGAAGCGTTTTATGTGCCAGTGCGGTGGACGGCTCGCTTGGCTTGAGTGCTGTAATCTAACCTAAATTTCTAAATTTCTAAGGAGGATAGTATGCTAAATGTAAACCTAAAACTTCGCTAACGCGAGACCGGGCCTTTTTGGGAAAAAAAAAAAAAAATACGAAAAATATGAACATGAAGGCCGGATTTGGAATCGATAATCTTTAGTTGGGAAACGCCGCAAAATGGGAGCCGGAAAATTGAAAAGACCAAAAGGCACCTTTAATTCCCACTTTTGGTCCCTAAACCTCTCTTAACACCCCTAAACCCATCCCATTAATAAATCATGGCTACGTAACTGATTATATTATGTTGTATAATTTGTAATAACAACTGATGTGTTGTTTGGAGGTTCCGACCAAGTATTGTACCTGATTTTACTACCCGAAAATATATGTATAATGATTTTATACCTATATAACTCAGGAGAGTCAAACTCCATGTTTTTGGCGCAAAGTTTGGTTGCCAAACCGAATGAATACTTCATTACAGTAATAAAAACCTTCGTTAACCATAATTTTGGGCATAAAATAAGCTGTGTTTAATTATCGGGGCCTCTTGAAATGTATTTCACCGGACTACATTTTTAGTTCTTCGGCGCCACTGATTTAACTCTATAATTGTGTTCACATCCCCCTCAGCCCTTTTCTCATATTAATGACACGCCACCGAGACGGACAAACAGACGATTCCTTTTATTAATGTACGAGTCAGATTTGAGATTAGATATACTCTATATTATACACCGTTTTTTATTGAAAATTATGTCGACATTGTTAATGGAACACCCTGCATGTACATTACGTACAAACGTATATTAAAATATGTAAAGAACACAGTCTCGTGCTTTTTTGTACCCGCATACGTATATAAGACTTGTTTTGCGTCATATAGAAATTCGTTTTTACAATATTATATCGTACATAATAGGTATAATTCGACCAGTTTTTTTTTTCAACCTAACGCACATAAATACGTTGACCTCGAATTTGTAATTTTTTTTCTTATTTTTCTTATTTTTTTTTTTTTTATCCGTAGTTCAACGCGTATATAATAATATTGTAATGAAGCACACATATTATTATTATTATTATTATTGTCATTACTATTGTAATGGTATGCAAATATCACGGCTAGACCGCTATACAGTGTCCACGGCGGCGGCGGTGGCGGCGCGTATACTTACCGCTGCAAGTAATAACAAAAAAAAAAAAAAACATAATATAATACCATACCGTCGTCGGAGCACGTTATCATTTTGTTTTTGTTGTTGTCGGCGGCATTGTGCGTATTCCCGGGACCCCGTAACGTGCAGGTAGGTACGCCGGGCCGCAGTATAGTCGCCGTCACAGTCGGTCGCACCGCGGAGAAGACGTGCGGTGAACCCATCAGCGACGTCGTCTGCACCTGCGGCGGACGCGGACTCGTACGAGAGCCAGCGGGCCGACGACAACCGTTCCCGAGCCGTCCGTGCCCGTGCGCTACATTACTACCCGCGTTGTTTGCCCGGCGCGAAATACCTGCCGCGCGCTTGCCGAAATGAAACTCCGCACGGACATCAGTGCCGTCGCCGCGGCAATTGCGTTCGCGGCCGCTTGCTGTGCGCAGGCCGCGGCGGCGTCGACGCCGACGAACGTCCGGTACGACCCGGACTGGACCAGTCTGGACGGCAGACCGTTGCCCGGGTGGTACGACCAGGCGAAATTCGGCGTGTTCATACACTGGGGCGTGTACTCGGTCCCGGCGTTCGGCAGCGAATGGTTTTGGATGAATTGGAAAGGTGAGTGTACGTTTGGTTAGGTACTTAAACTACGCGTGTAGGCGCGCGTAATACGGTCTATGCGAAAAACGGCATTCTCCCCCCCCCCCCCCCCCNCCCCCCCGATCGTCGGATTACATTAAGACATCCGCAAGTTCTCGCGCCGATTACATTGTCGTTATCCGAATGACGTTATTCCTCATAGGGCCTCTACGCCGCCGGCGTATCATTTTGTTTCCTCTGTCTGTCTCGCGCGTAACAGAAACGACAAAGACACTATGACGATTGCAACTCTCTACAATTGAGTTTAAAGCAAAGAGGACTGTTTTTATAGAGAACGATATTATTACCAGGGCTCGGATTTTAAGACATTTGCCAATTATTAGTATGGGACATAGATACGAATAGCAGAGTGAGCTTTGCATTCGCTTTATGCACCAGTGACACCAAATGTAAAATTTTATCCTGCTATTTTCCAATTTTTGGTGTTATTTTTTGCTAATACGCATAATATAACAATTTATTTTGTATTTGTCATAAATAGTAGAAATAATGTTTCCGTCTATATGAATCCATAAGAAATATACTTACATGTTCACTTCATATTATAATCAACTTTTAAATAGCCCAGCGTTTTAACCCGTCGAACAGTTTACAATTATGACTTCTCGTCAAATGTATTTATGTGATAAAAAAAAATTTAAAAAAAAAAAATGTTTTCATTTTTGTCATTTTTTATGTTTTTATAGCAAATTATAACTTATTTTTTATGTCATCTTATAGCGCATATATCTGTTATTTTCATTGTTATAAAATCCAAGCCTTGATTATTACTAAATACTTTGACCGGATGATTTTTTTTTTTTTTAAAGATATTATACGTGCTTTACCCATTGATAACTTTATTAAGAACCATATATCCGGCTATACTTCCTTCTCGTTTCTTGATACTCTTTCTATCCGTGAGATTCTCGGAGCTTTTTTCCAGTTCCGCATGCCAAAAGCTGTGAATTTTGCTTAGATCAAAATCTATATACTGTACATTTGTACGCAGCTCTAAATCGTTTCTGACGAAATACTGTTTTGAGCAAAGTCTGGTTAAACATGTTTTGAAATGCTGTGATATTTATGATTTTCGTCAAAATCTGAACTAAAAATGTTTACAAAAAACAAAATTGCTACATTACGCTTTATTTTTTTTTTTTTAATGTCAATCAAAACTTAAGATGAATCTCGTGTTAAATTTTCAAACATTCCAATAACATGTACATGTACACAGTTTTCGCATATGATAAATAATGTTTAAATGTCCAAAATCGACTGGGAGAAGATGTTATGCTTGTCCGTGGAATGTCTTAATATCCATTAAAATCATATTAATCATATAATTCCATTATTTACCATAAACACTATTATTTTTATGTTACCTATACCGTTAATCGTACATAACAATGTAAATAATGTGCCTATTAAAATGTAAAGCTGGTTATCGTATACTCACGTAAATAGTACAAACAAAAAAAAAAAAAAAACCATTTTTAAACATTAAATGCATACGTACAGTTTTAATATAATATTTGTTTATTTATTTGTAATAACGGACTTAAAGTCTACATTTTAGGAAACAATTTTACAACGGTTAGATACAATAAAAGTTTTAAAGTTAAAATTAAAATATAAACATAAAGTCAACTGGTGGGAAAAAAAATAATAAAAACACGAAAACTATTTACACAGAAATGTCTTATAGTCTTTCAAAAAAAAACCATATATAATTTGTTTAACATTATAAAATAATATATTATATATATGTATAATGCCTTCGTAAATTAATTGGAGAATCATACACCCGGTTGAAAATATATTATGTATTTGTATTATTTATTTATTTTTTTTTTTTATTTTGTGTAATATATAAGTAATATTATATTATATTTATGACTTAGATGACACGTCATAGATGCCCGCATGTGCAGTATCCGTTTTACTAACGCACGACGTAACTCGCTTAATTTTGGTTTTATATAATAAAATTAAAAGAGCCCACCATTTCGGAGTGCAAGACGATACCTTTTATATTCTGAGTGGAACGAGGAATGCATTGGTTTTACAATGATGTTTTATTTTTATTTTTCTGTGGACAGCTTTGCTATCAGCAATTTTGCTTCTATTTACAATAATAGCACTTTTTCTAAAAGGAAATCGGACTGGAGAGGTACACTAAGGAGGCCATTTTTCGATTATCTCAGGAGTTATCCCAAAACATGAGAAAACATAAAAAACGGGAAATTAGGGACAATATTAAACAAATATTATTATAGAAAATATATAATGCATATGTAATTATTTTACCATAATATGACATATTGTTGACAAAGCAGTACTATTAACCGAATTCCGCTCAGAATCGTTTTATCGTTAGCAATGGTTAATCGTTGCGTACATATATACATTCAAGTTTCCCTCTAACTTCCCGGCTTATAACCTATAGCCTATATAGTTACCCATCCCCATTATCTTAGGACAGCTTTTTTTTTTCATTATTTCAAATATAACAATCAATACATCGTTTAGGAATAACGACTATTTAAACATTTTTAAATGGCCGTCAACCGTCTGCATGGTCGTTTAAGTGTTACCCAAAACGAATTTATCTGAGTGTCACCTATTTCCATAATAAAATCACATTGCATATTCAACAATTGGAGGAAAAACCCGAATGATAATTATATTTAAATTATAATACAAATCAATTAATTACAATTTGTATATTCGATTACAATTGTCTTCATTTTTTATTATTATTTTTAAAAATACATCGTCTTGCACTTTGAAACGTTGTCCTCTTTCGTTTTTTTTATTACTTTTACTTTAAAATCACAAACGAGTTCTATTCAGTCTGCATAGTGTATACCTATGTATGCACATGTATACACAATATGCATTTGCTATAGGTAAGTAGGTAGGACACGGAGATAGGACATGCGGATATGACGTCCGTTTAAGCTTGAACATAACATACATGTATAAAGCGTGAATACGTCGAGAAAATGTCTAAATATAAGACATACGAACAATAACGATATATATTATTTATTAGTTATCATCCGGTCACGCGCAGTGGCGTATTTATGGGAAGGGGGATATGGGGAATAGATTTCCTCCCTTGGCTTTTTTTTATGTATAAACCACACACACACGTTCTGTAATATGTTATTTTATATACTATTCTACTTGTATACGTATTTTTAACAGTTAAATTTATAATAGTATACACCGACATTAAGTCACTTTGTTATTCTGTGAGTATTATCACACAATAATAACAACAAAATCAAAATAGGATTTTCAAAAACAAAATATTAATTTAAACCGTTTATAAATATTGTGTGTGATGGTTTGTGATTATAGACTAGACTAAATGGGTTAGCTCTGCTGTCTTGTCACAGTTGAGGTCAAGACAGATTCGGCCTCTCAATACCTAATACTTCGAAAGTCTATGAGGAAAAAATTAGGCTCTAAAAATATTATTTCATATCCCTCTCAACAATAAAATCCTATATACGCCTCTTGTCACGCGTATACAATACGCGTTTTACCGTAATAAAGATAATAATATTTATACATGGCGCAGGTAGGAGAGGTCCGACTTATGTGAATTTCATGACGAAAAACTACAAACCCGGTTTCACTTACCAAGAGTTCGGTCCTCAGTTTACAGCAGAATTTTTCGATCCGATGCAATGGGCCAGCATAATCAAAGATTCCGGAGCAAAGTGAACAAATATTATAATATATTATTCGTTTCATAAAATATATTATTATGTTAATTTCTACTAATTATAATATAATATATTTATTATGTAGATACGTAGTTTTGACATCTAAACATCACGAGGGCTACACTTTGTGGCCATCAAAAACATCGTTCGGATGGAATTCCGTAGACGTTGGGCCCCACAGGGATCTAGTCGGTTGGTAAAATAATATTATTCTCACGCGTTGCGTTGTAATAATGTTTAAAACGTGAATTTCACCGTAAGTAATTTGTCGTATGAAAAAAAAAAATAGGTGAACTGAGCCGAGCCATAAGGAGTTTAAACACAACACGATTCGGATTGTACCATTCGCTGTACGAATGGTTTAATCCGCTTTGGATACAAGACAAACAGGCGAATTTAACGACCAGACATTTTGCTACTGAAAAAGTCCTTCCAGAACTTTACGAACTGGTAAGACGACTAGAAATAGATATATCTATACGCGCGATCGCGCAAAAAAAAAAATTATGCGTCAATATACGATATAATATAATCGTACCTGTCTGGTCTAAGTATAGTTACTTATTATAAACCTGATATTATTGCAGTCTTCTTATTCTACTTGGCTATAGTCTTTAAAATCATACCGTTAAATTATACAAAACATGCCATCTGTGGCCTGTTCTCTGTCGTTTCTCTCTTCAAAGTCTTTCTCAACACAATATTCTCGCCTTAATTATGCAGATATTTTTAAAGACATTTTCCCCAATACGGCTAAAAGGTTCTTCCTTGATATTCTAACTATAACGGGCTTTTGGAACATACATTTGAAGTTCGTCGTAAAGAACATTACGAATTACAAAATGCTATTATATATTATAATATTATATAGGTGAATAATTATAAGCCGGAGATCATTTGGTCGGACGGTGAATGGGAAGCGCCGGATACCTATTGGGATTCGTTAAACTTTCTCAGTTGGTTGTACAATGACAGCCCCGTCAAAGACACGGTAGTAGTAAACGATCGATGGGGCGGCGATACGCTGTGTAAACATGGTGGATTTTTAACTTGTGCCGACAGATATCAACCGGGTTCGTACCCATAGTCCATATATTAAAAAAAAAAAACACATTTTTTTTCTAATTGTTTTTAATATTACAGGAAAGCTCGTGACTCGAAAGTGGGAGAACGCCATGACCATCGATAAGTACTCATGGAGTTATAGAAGAAACGCTCGGTCGTTGGACGTGTACACGATAAAAAAATTGATCGCCCAACTAGTGGAAACTGTCAGTTTTGGAGGTTCGCCAAACTCAAAATAATATAGAGTTACAATTAATTAGGTATCGAAATTCCGGAAAAATTCCGGGGAAAACGGGTTTTCCTAGTTTTAGGAAAATTTAAAAAAAAAAGTCATGAGAAAATATATTTTCAACGTAAAAAAAGTTTTTAAAACTTTTTAGAAAAGTACCAAAATAATTTAATTTTTCCGGAGGTGAAATGTTTTCCTCCAAAAACCAATTTTCCGGAAATTTTTTCTCCCTACAAAAATTATCTATTTTTCTTCAACTGCAATCATTATTTCATCTGCCTATCTGTTATTTTAATATATAACAAAATACGAACTTGCAGGTAATCTGTTATTAAACATTGGCCCCACCAGTGATGGCATGATACCACCGTTGTACGAAGAACGTCTGTTACAAATCGGCCAGTGGTTGTCCGTCAACGGTGAATCCATTTTCAACAGTAAACCGTGGCCGAATTGTCAAAACGATACGCAAAATCCGCATTTATGGTAAAACCATCAAACGTATATTATGCGAGAACCATATAATCAGTGGCGCGACCAAGATTCCATGGAGGGGGAGAGAGGGTTATGAATTTCAAAAAAATATCTGGACAAGTTTTTGAGATAATAAATGATCTCAACTTGTGTGTTATAAACCCCTCCTCCCTCTACACACACACTCTGGTTACGCCACTGCGTATATAATACAATAATATTTTTCCTAGGTTTAATTTGTAAAATATAAATAGGTACACTCAAGGAAACGTTTCTTCGATCATTTATGCGATAGTTTTGCAATGGCCCGACGATAATTTACTTGAATCCGCGTGTCTAGACAAATCAGACATTGCGTCTATCGTTATGTTGGATACACAGAGTAAACTCAAGGTAGATAATAAAAAATAATTATGCCAACCGATAAAATTGCGCTTATATTTTCAAGTATATATCTAATATAAGTGCCTATGATGTATTCTAAAAAACTAACATTTTTCTAGTGGACTCAAAATAAGGAAGGCGGTTTAATCGTTAAGCTAGAAGACAAATCCAAGATAAAAACCCATTGGGGATGGGCACTACGCGTAACTCTGAACTCCACCTAAGTGTTTTTTATTCGAGAATTGTATCCTTTCATTTGTACCAATAGTATTTCGTACGAAACAATTGTACCGAACACCTGTATGTAAAACAAATTTATAATAATAATAAACGTACAAGTATAAGTACAACCTATAATACCAAAAAAAATAAACTTTTTATTATATTTTACTCACGGTTAATAGAAATCGTCTGGTCATCATAAACATATGGCTTCCGGTCAGTCCGACGTGATCTTTTTGTATTTGCAACATAAAAAATTCTACCTGTATACCGAAAAATAAACTGTACTATTGATAAAAAATGTATACCTACCTACTTAAAATATCATGAATTTATTACCTACTTCTTTACAGTACGATTTCTGTGATATATCATAAAGTGTCCTCTTTGGCAGTTTACTGTTTTCGTAAATTTTTACGGAACACAAACATAACAAACATCCTCTCAACGAAGATACCAAAAACGAAAGAATGGCATGTACGTAGTGACTTAAACTGTTATTTTCATTTTTTTTCCTGTAATGCGATTATAATATATAAGTTAATAATTACTATTATTATTTTTTTTTTTTTATAAACGAAAATATTAATCAAACTAAGTTATCTACCGAGGAAATAACAAGATATCAAAAATATGCCGAATATTTTAGATATATTTTTTTTATGATTGATAGCCCTACAAACATACGACACCTACTATTATGTCTTTCCCAAACGTATAAAATCATTAGAATTGTAACTGACAAATTGTTGCTATTATCGAAAACTGCATACCTATTATGCTACTTTCTACAAGCAATCTATCATGCATCTATCGTATCTGCATGGAGTTGAGTGGTTCACTTTTGTCCCGAATTTGTTCAAAAGAATTTCATAAATTGCATTTAAGATAAATAATTATTTTGTATGAAATTAAAAAAAAAATATATATATAGATAACTTAATTTAAACCACCACTCCTTAAAAATTTGGTCCATTATATACGAAATTACCGAACAGAAATCGTATGGTTATAGGTATAACCATATTACCATAATATATAAAGTTGGTTCAAAACAATAAATTTGGAATGGTCTCTATAATAATATGGTCATGGCATGCATACAATATATTAATGTTAGTATAAATTAATAGATCTTAAATTTGTGGGCGCCTATTTTTTCAGTTACCGTATGGTTTAATTATAAATGTTATAATGTGCGTTATCGAAAATGTTGACAGTTTCCCTCTATTGCTTTTTTTTTAATCTTTAGATAAGGTTAAGAAGGTTGTAGACCCCTAAACCCCCCTAGACCACCAGAACCTTCCTATTAATAAATCCTGGCTACGTCACTGCTAACATGATACAAATAAATCATGCCGTTGTCTAGTAGGTAGGTGTACGTTATTATTTCCCAATGTCCAGGATCATACTAAGACACCCAACATAGAGTCAGTTATGATTATATTTATATAACAAAAACTTACAAAATATTATACCTAATATACGACAAGGCTTGGTATTAAGGCGTTTAAAGTTAAAATTAAGTTAATTAACGAGTTACTTGTTTACACGATTAACTTAACTTTAATAATTAATTTTTTTTGTACAGTCGTGTTAACTTCAAGTTAATTTTGGTCAAAGTCAAATTTTTCGTAATTATATAACTATTTTATTTCTTATTTGATAAATCCCCGATATTTAACAAAATTCTTAGTAATGTTTTCTGTTTTAAAAAATTCATAGTCATCAGTAGAGAGCGGATGTTTATGCATTTATCATATTTTTGAATAACATTTAAATTAATGCCGGAGCGAGATAGAAATGTGTTTCATCACTCAATGAATTCAAATTACCAATTTAATTGTGCATGTTTTTGCATATTTGTTCGATTTTTACTTGCTTGATCATATTTTTAAATTCATTACATGCTTTTATTGCATATTTGAGATTTATCGTAATACAACAATCATTTTTACCAAAACTGAAAAAACTGCGATAGTACACTTCTTGATACAATATTTATAGTGGCAATAAATTGTATGTGAATATTTCAGTTGTGTAATGTGTTACACGTATCGTTTCGTCCAAAATGGCTAAGTGAGTTTATTTATATTGCACAAAGCTTTATACCTAATTATTTCAAAACGCCGAAAACTTTCAAATCGTTGTGACTACATATTTTTGTTTCTGAATTTAAATTTCTTAATGGGTATCGATGGATTTGTTTTATAATATACATTGTATAATACTTCAGTAAATGGTAATCGAGGTTTTTTAGTGCTTCAGCATATTAATACAAATAAACATATCAAAGATAAATCTTCGTTAACTAACAAAAATTTTATTGGTGCATATTTTAAATAAATTTTAAGCATATTTTTGTACCTTATAGTGCATAATTGCATGCATATTTTTCAATTTTTTTGAGCATAAACATCCGCTCTCTAGTCATTGGGCTTTTTCTGTAAAATTTAAAATATGAACATTTCAATTAATTTTACATTTTATGTGGTTTTATGCTATGTTTTGTAAGGTACAAATTTCGTATCTTAAAAAATATTTTTTGAATGTATTCATCTAGTTAGATTCTAACTTTTTCTAGCTAACAAAAATGTTAAATCTAATGTTTAACCAAGTCAATATTAACTTAATTGTGTTGTTTAGTAATTAACTAATAACTTAACGAAGTTAAAACATACGAGTCAACTTAATTTTGTGTGCATTAACTTAAATAGACGAGTTAAAATAAATTGATGATTTACCTAGCCTTGATATATTATATATATATATATATTATATAAAATAGTTTTTTGACTAATAATTTACTATAGTCATCGTTTCCTAAATATATTGTCAACATTTCCGGTGCATATATATATATATATACATATATATTTTAATAGGCTTACAGGACGCCTTGATGTAATTCCACGCAAATGATGTACAAATGTATTAGCAAGGATACGCACAGTAAATGACATAAACAGTCGTTCAACGATCTGGCCAGGTTACACAGTCGCGTGTAATCGACCCTCAAGGTTTTCCACTGGTCCGGCGTCAATATCTGCGAGCTCGCCAGACAAACACGAAAACAATATATTGTTATATAATAAACGCGTTTTAAGTACTTATAATAGTATAAATGTATAATAATGTGCACAGTATTTATTATTTTTTTTTTTTACCGTGCATCCGCTATGGACAATATTATTAGTTAGATATAAATGTTTAGTGCTTAATATAATATAGGTAAGCCTGTATGTTTGCTTAGACGGTATTATATTAACATAAATAATAAGAACTATAAAAGCATGGGTGCAAAAACTAGTGGCGGATCCAGGCGTTCACTCTCCAATGTATTTTTTAAATGTATGTCTTTTATGCATTTTCAAAATTATTGCACCCCCTCTCAATTATCTAGTCCTGGAAACACTTCTGGCAACAACCCAATAGATACCTATCCAAGTAAAAATTGTATCACCTACCTATTCAGTACACGGGGTTTAAGTCTGGTCAAGACAAGACCATATTTTCGGGACTTTGAGACTAAAAAATGTTAGCACACAATATATTATTCAATATAGCTAGATACGCGTATATTAAGTCGTATTCCGAGGTTATTGTACACGTAATAGACAGTAATATTACCAACATTATTACCAATAATCTATGTAGTTTATAAAATCACAATGCACAAGAACTAAAAGTAGGATTTTATAACACATACAAATTCGATAAATAGGTATGTATTAAAAATATGCATTACACATTTTTACGGCAAATGTTCACGTTTCGAATGGGCAGTTCCGACTATATAACGCTGTAAGATATTAAGCTACTGGCGATTCGTTTTCCTCTTAAATGTTCCCGTTTAAAGTCAGCTAACCGAAATCAAAGTGAATATATAAATGCGTAAAATATCGCGGCGCGTTGTTGAACAGAATCCCACCGAATGCTATTCCAATCTCTATAATTCAACCCGTGGCGAAGCTTTTTCACCGTCTTCACGAATGAAAAAGCGTACGAGTGTAAACACACCTTTCCACGGACGAAATTAAAATTTGAAATACAATACATCTGATCTAATGTGGACGACGCCTCTAGAACAATGACATTATACCAGGTGATCCATTTAAGTGGGTGCACTCATTATCTCGGAAAGTATTAACTTTTACCGGAATTTGTTTTCTCGGACATTTAAGAAACAAACGAAATTATTATTAATTTAGGTGATGAATTCATCAAATCCGCTGTCGAGCTAGTGTAGTAATATGTAATTAGTAAATATAAAAATCACCCAACGACAATTATTATAATCGAGTCCGGATTAACATACAGTCAGGTTAGGCACGGCTCATTAATATTAATACAAATATTTTACGACTTATGATTCAATACTATAATATAATACTTGCAAATGTACAAAAAATTTAATAAAATTATTTTTTTTTAACGCCAACCAAGTCCAAATAAAACGTATATTTAAATTACCTTGATATAGTTTTAGAGAGAAAATATTTAACTTTTATAGTCTAGAAACCCTTCGTTGTGTTTGTACACATTATTCATCATATTTTCTTTGACCGGGTCACTGTTTTTGTTGGATCAGATAAAACGGTAACCACCGGCCCCGACTCCCCTCCGGAGCAGACTTTTGTTGACCACTGCAATTCTTCCGGGCGTTCGGCGCGAGAAGTTTTTCACTTCGTCTAGGATACGGGGTTATAGAATAAAGCATTCGACGTTTACAATTTATACGATAGGTTGGGATTAGGAATTTTACTTACCAAATGTCTACAGCGATTATAGTTTTTTTTTTTTTTCTATGACGCGTGGTAAGACACTCCGATTTGCAAAAAATTGGTAGGTACCCAATAATTATTATTACAACAACCCGTCCAACGTTCCGATAATAATATTGGTAATGATGGCGGGGTGAGGTTTGGTTAAAACAGACGTGCCGTGCGCGATGTGCTTATTATATCGAGAAACGTCCGTGGGTACCTTTACATTCGACTAATTTTCTATGAACACTAATCACCCAAAACGCAATTTCCCGGTTGGGATTATACCCACGTGCAAATACCTAATTTAATACTTAAGTACGTGTTCGGTGCCACCGAACAGGATGATACGAAAGTATTTAATAATAAAGCAGCTTTACCTATATACACGCAGACGAGGAATAGCTGCAGAGGATGCTAGTAGCATTCCCTAAAATGTATTTGTCCCAATCGGTATAGATTCGCCTTAATTAATCGATCTACTTGAAATTAATACGAGTTTCTAATGAGAAAGTTATAATCATGTGATAACATAATAGAAAGTATATGATAGATCTATTTATACCTAATAAGTAAATAGATTAATAATTTATTTAAAAAAATTAAATTTATATCATTAATTATTGCTTGAGATAAATTAGCTTTTTCTAAACATGGTGTTATTTTAAAAATATATTAAATGTTCCTATTTTTTTTTAATTTATTTTATATAGTTACAAAATAATAAAAATGTTCAATTTAAAATTGTCAAAGCTTATTGAACCGAAATTACTTCTCGTTTGCACCGATTTATCATTGCGTACAGGTATAAAAATTAAGCTATATGTTACATTCCCAACTTACGACAGTAAGTGGCCCATCCATGGTGTGAAGTAGCTTTTTTAAAATTTGTTTTATCATATAATTTACCCAAATAATTGTTGATATTTGCCCTAAAATTAACTAACATTCCATGCCCCCTTTTTTTACCAGTTTGTAGGTGGCAGGGCCGTGCCTAAGGGGGTGCGAACGGCTACAATACGATTGAGAACGCTCGAAATGGATCAATGAAATAGCCGCTTACTCAATAAAACAGTACCTATTGAGAACGAAATTATATGCAATGTAGCCGAATTATATTCAAATCAAAACCCATAAATAAATTATGAAAAACTTATGCAAAATTTCTAATAAAACGTATTTGTGGGAGTTTAAAACAATTACATTTCCACTGTGTTCGAAAGCATATAAGTCTTGGTTATTTTCCATTTTATTTAAGTATTAACGCAACATATTTCGCACATAAAACGCATAACGGTGCGTCCTAGGTGACCGCGAGTTTTCGAGCGGGCGGGTGACGCCGACATATTCCGCCCCGCTAGTGAGCGAGTGTCCTGCATGTTGCCTACGATCGGCAAATGAGTTTCTAATTATTTTCAAGTTGGTGGTTTTCAGTTAGATACTAGTTTATATCTCAATATTGGATCAAAATAATGCAATTCTCTTTGAAAATTCACTATTAAAATACTATGCTATGAAGAAACAAAACGTATCGAATAAAAAGAAACAACAAAGAAAAAAGACAAACCCAATTTACCTAGGTGAGTTTTCACATCAACTTAGTATTTAATTTTTTTTTTTTAATAATTAACAGGTAATTTAAATATAAATATTCTTAAACATGTCTTGTATAAAATGGAATTATATTAAATTATATTTATTTCATAATTTTAGATAGACATTTACACGGTGAATAATATAATAATAGACTTTGAAGGCATACCAAAGGAATTTAATGGATCCGTAGAGACACAGATGATATATGAAAGAAAAACAAATGTTAACGTTGCAGGAACTTCAAGAAAAAATAACCGTGCTTCTCATTCAGCGATTGAAGTGCGAAATACATTTTGTAAATATTTTATGGACAATAAGAATAGATAAATTAATATTTAACCTAAACCAATATAATATGATTTTACTCTTTAAATAACCCCTGTATTGTTACTTTATTATTATAATTAAAATTAATTAATAATTTGTTATTATAATAAAACATTCAAACGGGTATGAAAATATGTTAACATAAATACGTGTGTAGAATTTGAAAAATATTAAACAGCTCACTTGGCATTTCAACCTTTGACGACACAATTTCCCCCGCTTTATCTACTGAAAAGTCGATTCCGACAATTTGTATCTCGCGTGTTGTATAATATGGGCTTTTTTTTGAACTTCCGATATCAAAAGTTCCACTTTTGAATCCGCATTATTTAATAAATTACGAATTTAAATTGCTTAACAATACCCGTACAGCTCTATAGCCCGCTGTGGAAAAATGAAAATGGTGCAGATCGCCCGCGTTAGAAACAAATTCGTTTTGGCGGGCGCGGCGGTATAATTAACGCCCGCGCCCGCCCGTTTACGATACGAACAGGACGGTTCCGATAATAAAATCTGTTTTGAATTTTATCGCGCGCACATTTCGATTATTCGTTATCGTTGTCTTTATATAGATTATTGACGGATTCAGTAATGGCGCCATGTCAAACAACAATAGGTACTTAATCATTGAACACGATTACGATACAAGAATCAATATACATATATTTGTATACATTTTGGATTGGTTGAATTTTCCGATTACTACATGTTTAGGGCGACTCGCGTGGAATTACAAAAACCGAGCGTTCTCAATCTTAATGGTCGAAAGGGTCTAAAAAAGGTATCGACGATAACGACGACCGTTCTCAATCGTATTTCTGCCGAGGTGCCTGCGCCCATGGCCACATGGGCACCAATAAAAAAATCTTAGGCTTTGCGATTGAATATTTTTACAATAAACGTAAAGTGAACGCCCATCGGACAGGGTGAGCTTTTTCAGTTTTGTTCACCGGTAAATTTCTCTGGACAAGCACGACACTTGGTGGTATTACATATAAGTTACTAGTTAAGCACACCCTACCTGTCCTTTGTACATTTTCATGCGATCGTTAAACAGTTGAAAATAATTGCCCATGGCCAAGCTGCCCATGATGATCAGTTGATCCGAGAAACACAACGTGAGAGTCGACACGGAATTGATCACCAACACCAGTACGGCTATCCACGTGTTATAATCGATCACGTCGAACACTTGCGGAAACATTTTCAAAATGTAAATTTCGAACACTTCTTGCGAATTCGTTTTTTCCGTCGTTATAATGCCCGTCAACAAGTAGCTCAAATGTTCTACTGCGATAAATTACAACGACATCGCACGCACATTAAAAATCATTTTACAAAATATACCTGCCTATGTGCCTGTCATGGGTAGGTGATCTAATTGTATGGTATATCGTATTCTTACCCATCGAAAATATAATACACACGATGGATATAAATGTGAATTTCAATTTTAAATTCTTCTGGTGTCCGAAGTATCCTTCCACTTGTTCCCATTTTTTCAAAAGATTACACCAATTGGACGACAAATTTATGAGTAATGCCATGGTGATGGCGGCCCCGCCAAAAAACAACACTATACCTGCAAAGTCAAAACGTATTATAATAAATATCGTTGGAGCCTATACGTTTTTCAAGATGTCCGGTGAATCATTTGTGCGCGCGACCTCCTTTAAATATGTTGACACCGCTTTTCTTCAGCCAGTGGAAACTCAACAGCGTCATGCTTATTTGGCACGCGAACGCGATCACCGAAAGTATCGTGCGCACGCTGTAGATGCAAAATTGATCCTGCGAAATGGGAATTAAACACAGATACTGGCCCAGTAACGTTGGAAAACTCGTCGCGGATCGGAACGAGTCGGACGGAATTTCCGGTACGCCCAGAAAATAACAACTATTCGATTCGATATCTATCGTTTTGTTGGGGTTGATTTTAAATCTTCGGAAATTGTTCGCCAATTTAGCTCTGAGCGCGTTTTTAACATGGTGAATGTTCATATTACGAGGCTTATACATTTTGTATGGGTAATTACTTAATCGCTAAAACTAAAATTCAATTTACCCATAGGTACTATAGTTTAGTAAAAAATGTATTATAAGTAAATAATGGCGTATGATCATTATCTTGACACGTACGAATGGAATCAAAAAACCATAATAGTGTTCTGTAATAATAATCTGAATAATTTATTTCAATAGTATAGTGAGATATTTATCAAATACATCAGACTTGAGTCACTCAATGGTAAGCAAAGGTATTAATATTTTAACATTGTTCCAGTAATAATATTAGTTATAAATATTTCCATATACTTGTATATAACAATATTTTGAAATGTATAATTTAACAAAACAATAACAAACATAAAATAATATTTTCTAACTTACTTCAACAGCACATAAACACTACCAGAAAGATCTTGGGAAGAACTCGATGACTTTAGCAGAAGTTTCTGTTTAAATCCTGGACTAGTGCAAAACTGTTTGTAGTCACAGAAGGGAGAAGGAGGGAATGTGGGCAGTAGTAAGATGCATTTATTTAAGGTTCAAAATAGAAAGTTCCCGGGATTGTTTGTACTGTTGGAGAATTTTTAATCATAATTTGATGGTAATGTATGAGTATTATTTATTTATTAATTTGAGCTACAATAAATGATTGATATAATATTCTTATTGTTTTATTTTAGACACTTCATAAAGATATGCTGCCAACAATTTTGTCTGAAACAAAACAAGTTAATAAAATTGTATTGGTGAGTATTATAAATAATGAAGTGTTGTAAGTCGTCTTAAAATAATCCATAAAATTAATTAAACTATTAAAATATAAATAAGTGCAAACAGAATTACTATAAAACTCACTATGAAAATTAATTTTACTAACAATAAGTTGTTTAACATGATATTGTAATTCTATTACTTACTCCTTCAATGTAATTGCGAACATCAATTTTTTCATTTTGTGAATGTGCACTATCATCTCCGGCACCCATTGGCAAAAGCATAACGCTTTTACCAGTAACTTCCTAAAAATAACCAATCAATATTATTAAATATATCATAAAAACCAGTAATTATCTAAAACTTAAGTGCACTATATGCACATAACTATTTAAATAGTTACAAATATGTATAAATACACGTACTTGGAAAGTTAAAGTAACAGGTATAGATCCACCACATCTAGTATACTCAGGTTCAACATTGTATACAGTCTTTGTAGCATTGTGAGCTGCCAAAAAATGATCATTAAATGGATCCGTCTTCCAAGGGTTACCACCTTCACCAACTGTATATATCTATTTAATTAGTTGAAGTATTAATATTGTAATATTATGCTTAAAAAATTAAATTATAAACAAATTAAAAATACTTTAAACTTGTTAGGACTTTGACGTTTATCCCAAATACCTTGAACATAGTTTTTCACTATTTCAATGATTCTTGATGGTACTTGATTTGGTACCAACCGAATGGAAAATTTTCCAGTCACTTTACGAGGTATTACAGTTTTAAATCCAGGACCTGAAAATGCTCCTTCAATTCCATGAATAGACAGACTAGGATATCTCCAATTACTCATCAACAATTCTTCCTAAAATAATGTATTTTAAATTGTTTTATATTTATAAAATAAAATTTTATATGTTAAATACTGACTTTTGTTATTTTTAATGGCTGAAATGCACCAACTTCTTTAATATATGCATCAACATCAAATTCAATTTTTTCATATAGTTCTTTTTCTTTTACAGATAATGGTTCTACTCCCTCATCGACTCCAGGTATTAAAATATTACCTTTTAAATCGACTAAATTGTTAAGAACATATAGCAAATCTGACATTGCTTCATAGCTAAAAAGAAATATAGAAAGTTTATTACTTTTATTTGATCAAATATTGCATTAGTTATTTAAATAGATGTGCATTTATGGAGCAATAAATTTAAAATTAGTAAGAAAAATAATATAATTTATTAGTTAACAATTACCTACTAAAATTGAATGTAATATAAACAAAATGTACAAATTAGTTTTAATTAATAATGAACAATTATTATTTCTATTATTACTTACACAGTTCCACCATACATTCCACTATGTAAATCCTTACTGGAACCTTCAACTTCAACATAAAAAGCACACATACCGCGAAGTCCATATGTTAAACAAGGTTTTTCAGTTCCCAACCAATAACTATCAGATATGCAAACATACTCCACATTGTTGAAAAATGATTCTTTCTTCTTAAAGAGTAACTCGTCCAAGCCAACACTACCAGATTCCTCCATTCCTTCAAAAACAAACTAAATACAAAAAAAAAAAAACTTATAACCATGATATTTTTGATTGTTAAGTATACACTAATATTGGTATTATTGACATTAAAACCTTAAGATTAACAGGAATCTCAGTTCCAGTATTTTGATAGGCTTCAATAGCATTTAGCCATCCTAGAACTGGACCTTTGTCATCTGAAGAACCTCTTCCATATAATTTACTGTTTTTTTCTGTAAGAACAAACGGTTCACTATCCCATCCATCAGAAATATCAGCCGGTTGTACGTCCAAATGTCCATAAAGGCATACCGTAATTTTAGAAGAATCATTACCCAATTTACCCATTAATACTGGTGGAAGTTGAACTTTTTTGTCATTCAATATCTAACATAAAACAAAGAAATAAAGTAAATAAATATATAAATAAAAATGTATGATAAAAATAAAATAAATAAATGAAATAATGCGTCGCCTGAAGTATTATAATAAGTGTATTATACAACCAGTTTCAAATTAAAATTTATCATCAAGTATATCACAGTCAAAATGTAAAACGCGGTTGAATATAAAAAATTAAATGAAGGTATACGTGGAAAAAAAATTTACAAATTGGTCGTTTTACATAGAATAAAAAAATTATTTATTTTAATAGGAGTGATGGTTTAAAATTAGTTATTATTAGACAATAGAAATATAAATTATTTGGTTATTATTTATTATCTAAAACGTATTAATATAAGATATTATTTTTATAATCGGTTAGAACATTTAAAATATTATTAAAATTATTTTTTTTTATTTTATTATGTAAATTGTACAAGGACCAATTTGTATAATTTTTTTTTTTTTTTTTCTGTGCATTCCTTTATTTTCAGTAGTATTTTACATTTTGAGACTGTGATATACCTGATGATGGATTTTAATTTGAAATCGGCCAGTCGTATTATACACTTATTATAATATTCTAGAGAACGTATTGATTCATTTATTTATTTTACTTTTATATGTACATTTTTTGTTTATATATTTTTTCATTTAATTTATTTATGAGTATTAACCATTTTAATCATTTTGTTTTTACTTTATTATTTTATTAAATAAAACAAAGATTAAATGATTAATAATGATTTTATAGTGGTAGATTATATTGCAAAAATACCTATATGGCTATAATGGGTAAATAATATTTAACGACTGGTTTATTATTTTAAGAATAATGATAATTTTCATACGTATTATACCTGAGAACCAATATCACACAATTCTACTTCAGCTCCATATCCTTTTAATTTAGCTTGAGCCCATTGCATCATCTTAATGACTTCATTTCTCAACGATGGGTCAGCCGATATTGATTTAATTGATACCGCCTGGGATAATGTTTCCACAAATTTTTCTTTATTGTCATCGACATACCTATACAAATTAATTATATTATAGATTTACCCATATTTTATTGTTTTGTCCAGTATTAATCAAAATGAATAAATAAATGTAATAATTTACCGAAAAACATTTGCCAATGGCTGATCTGATGTCATAATAATTGTGGTAATCTGTAAAACTCAATTGTATAGAAAATGAATTTTGATAATTTTGAAAATTTTAAACGTTAAAATGTTAAATATCAAAATAACTATGCACAATAACTAACAACTAACAAGACTTTAGCAAATTGTCATACACGAATCATGAATCGTTAAGTACCAAAATCATTTCAATTTATTGGTAGGCATATTATAGATAATATTTTTTTATTTTACCATTATCAATTATACAGTTTATATAGTAGATAATATGACAATTTTAAATTTTTTATACGCAGCAATCGGTGATAAGAGTCGAAGTTGTTTTTTATTATTTCGAGAGCCATAAAAAACGTTATACATACCTACATATTTGCTACATATTTTACTTATGTTAACGAAAATGGGCCGATAACAAATGCTGCTATTGGCCGTTGTACATAAATACGAATATTTAAAGTCGATAAAAAAAAAAAAAAAATACAATAATGCTGTATTTTACGTTTAATTCTAGTTTACATCGTAATAATAAATTATCGTTGTATGATTACCGAATTATTATCGTTAGTTGTATTCATTTTGTATGCCCAGTCCACTTTATTTCATAAGCAACGGCGCGCGGCTGCGTCATGTCCACTGACCGCCCATCACCGTGGTGTGTTTATCTCGGAATTTGAATTTTATTTTCGAGTTTGACTCACAGCTGCCGTCATCGACTAATACGGTTACCCAAATAAGAGTACCTGCGCGTTTATCGTACTCGCTACTCAATTGTCGGACACTGACGTTACAGTGAAATTTTGTTTAACTAGTTACTAAGTACATTTTGTTTTTTGGCTTACTCGGCACTCGGCATACACTCACACAATACTACGGTAGTACCCAGCATTCCATTTGGATTTAAATTCAAGCGAAAAGCTCAAAAGGTTTGGCGATAATACTGTAAGATAAGTAAATCAAAAATACTACAAAAAAATCGACTTGTGATTTTTCGATTAAATCATTTTTTTTCTGGTAGAAAACGTCGTCCGTGTTTTTATAAAATAATGAAATCGTGAAATTGTACGTTTTCCTACGTTTTCCCCACTTAAGTGCTTTTATTTTTAAAAAAATCGCGTCGAAAATCAAAAAATTACTCCTTTAAAGAACTATCTAGACAACTTAAGCTTCTTTCGGAAAAATTGCTACACGTCAATATCGGAGTAAGTTTACTAGGAAAAAACGTGTTCACAGATTAAAACGAAGAAAAAAAATAAACATCATAGTAAAACCAATAGCTCCTTTGCTATGCTCGGAATCTAAATGATGGACATACTTCGCACGATGTGTGGGCCACTTCAGTAGGTGAGAAGGTGGAGGAGAAATTTAATTTTTTTTCTGTAAGCAACGATCTACGCGTACGAAGAACGATTCTGAACGGAGTTCGGTTGTACATGTTTTGAAATTGACATTTTTGAAGACAAGAGATCTATTTAAGAAAATTGATATTATTTACCTACTATCCTGGCGGCTGGCTGGGACTTGATAAATATCAAGACAACGTACTTAAAACCAGTAGATAGTGTCCCGGCTAAATTGGGACGAATGGCAGCCCTATTTTATGTATTCTACATTCCCAAATTCCCACCTACAGCAGTGGCACACGCAAATCACCCCAATTTATCAGGTTTTTTTTTTTTGTTCTACTTCCATTGAAGCAACAAAAACAAATTTAATTTATTGAAATATTGCAATGTCACGATAAATTATTTCATTTACACACCATAACGAAGGGTGACAGCCCTCAGCTACACAAACAGCATTCTTGACTTGGTTTTTAAAAATATTGCTTTCATATCTTCAAATTTACCAAACAGTATATCTTCAGACTATTTATTTAACTTACATTTATTATTTTAATAACTCTTTTAAATTCATTATATTAACTTTTTGTCTTTTCAATTTTTGTTTTAATAATTTAATTTTTTTCTTGTACTTGGTTGGTGTTTGAATGGTTTTATTTTTTGGGGACATGGAAATAGTTATTTAGGGGAAATTTTTTTTTTTTTTTATGGCGTTTTGAGTATAGGTGATTTAATATGTTTATCATTTTCAATCCACGACCATGACCATGGTTTAGAATTATCTTCATCATTAGATTCACTTAGAGGATGCTTCCTGCTCATTGATCGAGAAGAGCATGGTGTTAAAGCAGTTTGAGTTACAATTGTAGTTGTAGAACATGACATTGTTGTAATGTGCTACTTGTACCATAAGTTATAATTAACAAATATAAAAGAAACTACATTATTTTTCAACTTTAATTTGTAACTTCCCCCAGGATTAAACTCATAATCGGATTTTAAAAATGTGCACTGCAAATACGGCTTGGAGGGTTAGGAGAGAACCCAGGAAGGTTAATAGCCAAAAGCCAATGGCTTATTTGGTTTCATTATTTTATGGAACTTATCAATAATAAAACTTAGCAAAAATCACAAATAGAAATATAACTAATATATTATATAATCCATAAAAAATTACACTCGCGTAAAATAAAAGTACATTATTACCAGCTTTGGCTTTGTTGTGACAATTTAAAATTGATAACTACACACAAACAAGGCATTTTATGCAATAATCAAAATTTACGTAAATAAACAGAGAATCATATACCAAATTAAGGAATAAGGATAAAAGAAATGATTATACAATGAACAAACTTTAAATTTGAGTAATTATACTGAACATGATGTTTAACCACTATTGATAGGGTTTGTTTATCAACATGGACCACTCTATAAATGGTGGACAATTCCACGCTAATGTACATTGATAATAGATATATGTGGTTTTTAACATAAAAGAACATAATCATTTATTATAAATATCTTATATAAAAATATGAGCATTTTATTTCACATTAAATGTATATTTATTTTGTTTTACAATTTAAGATTATTGCATAAATAAAAGTATTGTTCATAAAAATAATTATCACAGTAAATAGTTTTGATGATCAAAAATGTTTTGAAAACTTTCCACAATGTTGATTTCATATAAATATAATTATAATAATATCTAACATTCATATATTATACTGAAATACAAAAATATTTTGAATTAAAAAAATAATAATAATAATTTATAAATGTAAAATATTGAATCACTTATTTGGTAGGATTTTTAATTTTGGATACTTCATAAAGGTAAGCAGCCATTAATTTAGTCTGAAACAAAATATTTTAATAATTATATTGATATACTATAAAATGTTTAAAACAATATACTATACGAATATTAAATGTTGTAGTAATTCAAATCTTGTCTTAACATTAGTTACCATTAGTTACTTATCAACTACTGAGACTATTTTATTTGATCTAATTGAAAAAAAAAATTGATTGTTACAGTAGATACTATTATGTATTATATACCACTCCTGCCATTTGATATTGTATACATGAGTGGTTATTGTCAGAACTAACATTAATCTTGTACATAAACCATCTCTAGTGATTATTGGCGGATAAAATTATTCAGTAGTGACTGAAAGTACCAGTCAACAAACATTTCAAGGGAAAACTGTATTTAAATGAGTACTTAAAACTCAATGTTAGCGCCAACTTTTGCTACATTTCTATTTTATTTTTTTTTTCACTTTTTGTTTTAACAAAATTTGATCACTAGTATTGTACAAATTGTATTTTGGTTCCGACAACAATAGTATAACATTATCTTGTCAGAAATAATAATCTAATATCGTGGTAGATACAACCAGTACAGATAATTATATATTTAACAATCGATTGATTTCAGTGGTGCAGCCAGAGAGGACACCGGGACCATGGCCCCATCCATTGGCAGTAGTTTAATTTTTTTTTATTATGGTGTTTATTCCAGTTATTTTTCATATTTTATTGATTAAGTAACTATAGTATATTTTTAAATATAATAAGCAAAATTTTGGTTTTTTTTTTTTTTTGGCCCCCTTAATCGAGTTACTATGGTTTACTCGAACTGATTTCTTAATACAAAAATGTATATTATAAATGGTAATAATAATATTTACCCCTTCAATGTAGTTTCGCAATTCAATTTTTTCGTTTTGAGAATGAGCTCCATCATCGCCAGAACCCATAGGTAATAGTAAAACATTTTTACCAGTTACTTCCTTTAAAAATGTAATATTATGTATTTTATATTTATTTTTGCTATATTATGTACAATTTGAATACCTATACAAACTAATACACAATAAAATAAATAATTAACAAAATACCTGTAAAGTCAATGTGACAGGGATTGATCCACCACCTCTTGTATAATCGGGTTCAATATTATATACACTTTCCGTAGCTTTATGAGCTGCTAAATAGTGAGAATTAAATGGATCTGTCATCCACGGATTACCACCCTCTCCTTCTTGAATGATCTACAGTTAAAATTAAATCAATACAAATGTGAAATTAAATTGTAAAAAACTAACACTACTAAATTAATTATAATCACCATATTAAACACTAATAATTTTGAAAATTGACCATATATAAATATTTTGATATTTTTGGTCCAAATATTTTTAAGAAAATTCTTACCTCTAATTTGTTAGGACTTTGACGCTTTTTCCAAACACTCTCAATATAATCTTTAACTATTTCATTAATGATCAATGGATTTTGGTTTGGCACCAATCGAATTGAAAATTTTCCAATTACTTTACGTGGTATAACAGTTTTAAACCCTGGACCTGAAAATGCTCCCTCAATTCCATGGATTGATAGACTTGGATACCTCCAATTACTCATTAATAATTTTTCCTACAATATAAATTAATTTTTTTAATAATTAGAAACCTTCATTATTATTTATAACATAAATTTAAAATACACACTTTTGTTTCGTGAGTTGATTTTGATGCACCAATTTCATTAATATATGTATCTACATCAAATTGTATTTTATCATACAGTTCCCTTTCTTTTTCACTTAAGGGTTCTACTGAATCACTAATCTTAGGAATTAAAATGTTACCTTTTACATCAACTAATTGATTGAGAACATATATTAAATCAGACATGGCTTCATATCTAAACACATAATTATTAGCAATATAAATAAAAGATAATAATATATATTTAATTTGTACTAATATAGATATTAAATATAATCTTTTTACTAACACAGTCCCACCATACATGCCACTGTGTAAATCTTTACTCGAACCTTCAATTTGTATACCAAAACAGCACATACCGCGAAGTCCATAGGTTAAACAAGGTTTTTCTGTACCCAACCAATAACTATCAGATATACAAACATAGTCTACATCATTGAAAAATGATTCTTTTCTCTTAATGAGCAACTCATCTAAGCCTATACTACCAGATTCTTCCATTCCTTCAAAAACAAACTTAACAACACAATAATGTGTTTATGGATTAAAAATATCAAACACATAATAATTATAATTTGTTTGTTTATTTTAAACCTTTAAATTAACTGGCAAGTCAATTCCTGTATTTTGAAATGCTTCGATAGCATGAAGCCATCCGAGAACTGGACCTTTGTCATCTGTGGAACCCCTTCCATACAATTTATTGTTTTTTTCAGTTAAAACAAACGGTTCACTATCCCATCCGTCAGAAATATCTGCTGGTTGTACGTCTAAATGACCATACAAACAAATAGTATTCATTTTGGGATCATTACCTAATGTACCAAGTAGAACTGGAGGCAGAGGTACAATTTTCCCACTTAATACCTAAAATCATTAAACTTGTTTTTTTATTCTATAAAAAAAATTAACCTAATCTAATCAAATAAAATAGGGATTATAGTTACCTGTGTACCAATATCGCAAAGTTCAGTTGTCGCTCCAAGAGCTTGTAATTTCACTTCAGCCCATTGTACCATCCTGATAACTTCATTTCTTAAATCAGGATCTGCAGATACAGATTTGATTGAAACCGCTTGTGATAATGTGTCCACAAATTTTTTTTCATGTTCATCAACATAGCTTTAAAAATAGTAACACCATAAAAGTTAAATTAAAGAAGGTTTTTATAATAATATAGAAGAAGTACAATATGATATTAAAAAACTGTTACCTGAAGTTGAACTGGAATATACAAGTCAGTAGAGCTCGGTAGTTATAGATGTTAAAAAAGCCAAAATATGCATGAAAAAATGTTTTATATGGAATAAATTATTCAAAGTTTATTATTCAAAAACATAATTATTGAAAAAGATAAGGATTAATTAATGCAAATTGTACCATTGTCATTAAATTAATGATTGATATGATAAGAAATAAAAATAAATAACGACGATAAATAATATTAGTTAAAAATTCAATATTATTTAAAATACATTGGTTAAGAAAGAAAAAAATCAATTATTTAAGCAAATATTAAATATGCATAATATGCGAAAATCTATGAAATAACACTTTTTCTTTAAGATTAACGAAATATGCGAATTGTACATTTTAATTGTTCGATTTTAAACTCTCTATTGTATAGAAAAAAAAAATGATTTTTTAGTTTGGTCTGCTATAAATCCAGTGCATACAGAAAAATATGCAACTCCTATGACTTACGAGCTCTGTAAGACGGTAGTATACTAGGAACAAAAATTAAAAGTTTTTATCTTCTCTAAAGATATCTAAGTAAATATAATATTCTTATAAAAATTTAAGGTACAAGTTAATTAAATTGCACTCAATACATTTTAGTATATAGATATTATAGTTATGATAAATACGGATATTTTTGTGATAAAAATATTATTTAGTATACTATTTGCAATAAAATTAATGTAATAAATGTAATTTAAATTATATTACCTGAATAATTTTACTAATGGAGCCGGAAGAGAATTTTGTGATTTTGCCATTCTCGCCATAATTTGTTTGATGTTTTATAAAACAAAATAAATCTACAATAGTTTCGTTAAAAAAACATATATTTATTAAAAGAACGTTCGACTCGTACTGCACTGTGAAAGTGTAAAGGACAATGAACGTAACAGAAAAAAAAAATCACACACAACTCGTGTAACGACCAACGGCATAGAAAAGAATACTAGCGGACTAGCGGACTACGTGCTTACTAAATAATAATAATAATACAGAAGTTACTGGGTAACATAATACCTAATTATACGATTTACTGCAATAATAATAATAATTATAGTTATTGGGATAATTCAGTACGATATTATTACGTTAATGAGAAGTACGTATGCCGTAATGTGTATACAGAGTGCTATAGAAATCGTTATTCCCAACCAAACGAGAGATTCATCGAATGACGGACATTGTTAATTCTCGACGATCTTCTACAAAACAATAAATTACTCGACTACCAACGACAACAGAACAGATTGATAATTCGTAATCAATATAAATATTAATTATATTATTATAAGTGTCGTATAGTTGTCTTTATTTTTTTTTATATGCCGATGTGTTCCAATGTTTTGGTCGTAGTACGTTTTGCGGCTTAATGTGAAGTCTATAAACCTCGCCCTCATAGACGGAACATTCAGGCGGGATGCGGTAAGGTGGTGCAGTAAGCCGATAACGCCACGACCGACGGCGGTATACGAATAGGTGGTGCGTATGAGACATAGACACTGTATAGTGTATAATGTATTAGAAATGGAAAATTTAATTTTTCGTAAAAAAGGTGATTAGTTCACTTAATTTAGGCGAATAGTTCAAATGAACTATTCTTGAGTTCTCGTAGTTCACTGATTCATATGACGTTGTTTGGCAATGAACTAATCGCTTGATCACTACCAGTACACATTCCAGTATAGAGGTCCATGGATAAAACAAATACACAGGGCACAGATATATATTATTATTATTTATGGATACCCTCATGTTACCAATATTAGGTGGGTGCGTAATACCATAGTTTCTTAGATCATACACTTAGATCATACTATGGTCTAAGCACAGTTCAATGATTTTCGAACACGGACATCTATGGGCAGGTTAGGTAATCCTACAGGTTCGGCTCACAGATATCTATACACCGTGAACATATTATAAACTGTTGATAGATCAATTCTATACTTTATTCCACATTAGTTTGGAAAAATGTACGACGTAAACCCGTCATTGTTCGCCGTTGTCGACCGACCCGCCAAAACGACGAATTGGTAATGGGAACGATCGAGAGAAATTAGTCGAAATACTCGATTGTTAGGTAGGTTCGCACGATTATTTCGATTGTTTTGAAAATTCTCGAATGATTCTCTCGGTATCGAAATCAACTGAAGTCGAGTGATGACTAAATCACTTGAGTAATACATTAATCGGCGAGTGATTCTCACGAAATTAAATCGGCCGATGTCTTAATCTAAAACATAAAACAATCGAACGGAAATTAGTCCGTTACATTAGACGTTACACGTCGTTATATTTCTTTTCTAAAATGTTTAACAGGTAATAATAATTGATTGATGAGATAATTGTCAAGCCCTCTAGCGAGTATTGATAAATGCGAGTTGTACAGAGTATCGAGAAACTGAGCGCAATGAAATACTCAATTGACCGAGAGATTTTTTCGAGTGAATCTCTCGATTTAGTCGATTGGAGTCACTTCTCGATTGTTCCCATCCATAGACTTATAGTACAGGTTTATTATATATTTATGTATACCATATATGTATTATAAGTGTATGTTCCCATCACTGCAACGGGTATACGTAGTGAGCTGTATTATTAAAAAAACACTCCCCACTATGCGTACTACGCCCGTATGAGAAACGACAGATGCCGACAACCACAGACAATTACAGCGGTCCGACCGTTCCGGCGGCATTTGTGCGTGCGCGAGTTTTTCCAAACTAATACGGAATAGTGGAATAGAGCAGGGGTGGTCAACTTGCGGCTCGCGTCTTATTTACGAAAACTAAATATTTACTTATTATGAATTTTAATTTTTTTTTCGTATACATTTTTTTGTAAAAAAAAAAAAATGGTTTTATTTTATATATATAATTAATATCAATAATAAATAAAAAAAAAAATAAACGCTAAGCTAAACTTGTTTGTGTAGCATTTTTTTAGTAAGCTTCTTAAGATCTGGTTGCATTGATGTTAGAGCAGTTCTCAGTAATTCTGTGAAATGATCATCAGTCAAATTTGAACGATATTTCGGCTTCATTATTTTCATTGTTGAATAAAGCGATTCGCACGAACACGTCGTTCCAAAAATTGATATCAATTATAATATTGAACTAATACGTAATTTGATAATACGTTTAACGGCTGTTAGCCATCTGTATTACTTTTGTGTTATAAAAGTACAGATTAGATTAAATTAGTTAAAATTATAAAATGTATTTACAAATATTTTGGCTCTTGATATCATTGCATTTATATATGTGACTCGCGACCATATTCATTTTGGCCACCCCTGGAATAGAGTATAATATACTATAGTATATAAAAACTATCCTGTCCAATTTATACCCGTTTACCCGAGTATACCCGTTTTGCGCATACCTAAATGAGCGCCAAACACGTTGCCGGATCCTTGATTACGGATCCGGATACTTGATAGACCGTCGCCGTATAATTTTGTACGCCGCTCGTTGTCGTCGTGGCAACCGTCGCCGTGTATACAGCGAGTTATAGTGTCTATAATACCTATCGTCAAATAAATCGTAATACCCACGCATATCTATACTGTTTCGGGCAAATTAACGGGCGACATCGAAAAATTACGTTACTTAAAACGTAAATTGTAGCGTTTATTCGAAATAAAACGGAGCATTTGTGCGAGAAAATATGTGTACTCGGCAAGGCCGTTAAAATAAAATGTTATCGATATTTTGTCCTCTACAAAATTATAATTAGATAACCGTAGATAGTTTTCATTTTACATCTAAGGCTGTGATTTTGTTGTTAAAATCTCAGATTATTGAGCCGGAAACAATTCACAAGTAATGGAAATACCAAAAAAAAGAGCAAATTACTACTTAATCATATTATATTTTCATGTGCTATAATTAATTTTTATACAAACTCAAACACTTTAATATGAATGTTTTTCTATTTTGTTATTAAAGCAAATAATAAATATAATAATATGTACTAAATGGAACATATTTTTCATTAAAAATATTACAAACAAATATTATAGTCTTGTCATAGCTATATGTCGTTTTTTGCTAGTATATTAGTCTAAAACTATGAATTTTATTGTTTTAAAAAACAATGATTGTTTATAAGTAAACATGTGGCACAGCAAAATTGGCCTGCCTAAAAATTAGGAGGCCCAGTTTTAAAACTATAATGACGCCCTTGGTTTTATGATAATAAATCGCATGTCAACACCTACTGTTCATATAACTTACAAATTACAGTATAAAGCAACTCCATCAGTAGAAAATATATTTTGTCAGTACTCGATTATGTATTGACTTATTCGACTTTTGATACGAGTATTTTATGGATTGTTCATCTCGCAGAATATAACTACGTATTTGAAAAAAATACATTCAATTATCTAGGTCAGTCGATAAATAGTAACACAGTGGAAACGATAACTACGATACACATACGTCATATTCATAGGTACTAATTTGTCGAGATGTTTAAGCTTCTAATCGTCATTTTATAAATAAAAAAAATACAAATATTTTCATATGTCGATAGCACGACCTTCAAATTACTGTTGGGTAAAGATGATCGTACAATTTTACATCCGGATTAACTATTATAGAAAATTATTTTGAACGTAATATTCAAACACAATATCAGCCAAAAAAATTACGAGAATATAAAGTTAAAAAATGTACTAATATGCTATAAAAAAATTAAAATATACTTTTTCATAGGTACTAAATATTGACCACTTTTTGAAATAAGGTGTCAATTATCTATAGATTTTATGGATTACTTAAGTGTAGGCGTATTATATATTCATTATAGGTAATCCATCTATTCAGCTCTGATAGATGCAGAACACGAGTTTTTAGTGTCATTGGTTTTATGATGGACTTATTAGTATAGACAATTACCGATGATATTTTTGTTTGTTGTTAATGCTTTTTTTTTACATTTCATAGGTAGGTGATCTAAAATTGTACGTAGGTAAGTAATTATAAACTATAGTTTAATGATTCTTCAATTTTTCTTTTTTCATCAATTTTAATAATATACAAACGTATTTATAAGTGAACAAGTAGGTACTATGAATATTATTAATTGAGATAAGATAAATGATAATGTTGAAATGCTGAATATTACTGTTTATCTTATTATGGGTATAGGTAAAAATGTCGAATGCACGTAATTAAAGATTTTAAGTAAGTACCTACTCGGTGCATGAAAGTGCTTTGTTGAGATTGTATTGTGGAAATGATGGTTTTTCGACGGTTCAAGATAAACTACATTGTAATAAATTGTTTATAATAATACTAAAGTATTACAGATATTTAAAAAAAACGATCAATTTGCATATAATTTTTGAAAATGCATTCGAAGCAGGGACATATACTGTCTGGAAATTTAGGGTGTTAATCTAATCCCACTTACGGAATTTGAAAATTTGAAAAAATATACCTACCGAACTAGAAACAGTTCAAAATGTTTAATTTTTTACTTATAAACCTCCCCCGAAATATTTTTCCGTGTAGGTACATGCCTACATCTAGGTGATATACGTATGTAAAAATATAATAATTTCTGCACGTAGAAAAATCCATGTAATATTGTAGGTACAGGTATAGTTGAACAATTTTGTAGCAATCAATCTTAAGTGAACCCACTAAAATCATTACTTTACATTAAACAGTGGTATGATACAATTGTATTCGGATATCTAAATTTATCTACCTAATATTATAATGGTTAATGTTATATTATCAAATATCATGGATGTGTCATTGGACGGATATTCCTGTTTGACTGACGTTTCTTTAGATTGTTGGTTATCTTAACACAGTTTTGTTTTATTGAAAATGGTTTCAAAAATGTAATTTCCGATAAATAAATAAAATTAATTTCACGAATCAGTATGCCTGTCATAATACTTCTGGGACAATTTAGCCAATTGTATTATATTAATAATCTATATTTATTTGTATTTTATTCCGCCGCTGTGGTACAGGATAGGTATACACTGGTATAATTGGGGTTGGATTGGGTCGGCGTGCGATTACTTTCGAATTATCAAACCAATTAATCAAACCTCATTATTGAATTGGGCCGATGTTATTATAGTTATAACTATAATGGTTTTATTAATGGAAACATTTTTATATTCCATAAAAATGAACGCCAAATGGTTGGTTTATGATCAATCACTGAGATTTGTGATAGCATTGTCATTTATCGAATCCCGGGAAAAAATCTCCAAAGCAACTATACTGTTAAAATTATATGTATAAAAAAAAATTTAATCATCAATTGTTTGAGTGTTTGTTTTGCACATAGCTGTCAAAAATAATAATTATGATAAATAATTTAAAAAAATATAATATCGCTTGCGATATTAATTTTAGCGACGGTTTTAACATTACACATGCGCAGAAGCGGCCCGACCTCTCGTGGTACAGACAATAAATAATTAGCTTATTACACATTATTTTATAATTTTTAATAATATTCAGATAAAGTTAGGTTGCACAGTTGTAGAAGCAACAATACATTGTAAAACTTGCTCGCATACTTTAATATATATTTTTGTTCTTTACAGTTTCGGTATATTTTTAGGTATGTATTATGTTTTAATAATATATAAACAATTACAGTCTGTAACATAATATACTGGGAATTCCATGAGTTGGTGCATGCAAGTACTGTACATATTATATTATATATGCAATAAAATAAAGTAAAAATAAAAAATAAAAAAATACTAACTTAAATGAATAGGTACACATTTAAAATACAATAGTAATGTTAATTTCACTCTCTGGTCGCTAGTATTAATTATTTATTTATGATTTAGGTCGAAATCAATTTTTTCGTTATCATTTTATGTTAAGGCAATTTATGTGATTTAAATAAAAAAAAAAAGTGCTGATAAATGGAGCCGTCTTTAAACGTTCGTTATTGTATCGAATCAGTTCTCTTCCGTGTATTATTGGATACTGCTGTCAAAAACAAAACCGAATGTATTTTCCCAATTCCACAATTTATCGCTCTCAATAATTGCTGGCTGTTATTAATAATAATAATTGTTATGCTGGCTTCCCTTGAGAGAATAGATAACACAGTTGCACTCAACAACAATAACAAATTATTTTTCTGGAATGTTAGTTGTTTGGTTTGTAATCGATTTATTCTGCACAAGTACATATGTTAAAATATTTAAACCTTTTTGGTTCTCCTTTTTAATCTTACTCAACAATCTTTTTAGATTCTGAGTGGAGCGAAGAAGCTTATTACAAAAGTTTTACAAAGATGTTTATTTATTTATAATTTTTTTTTCTGTAGACAATTTTTCTACCAGAAAACTTTTTCTGATTTTTAGGTGTACCTTTTGTGAAAGAAAATCTGACTTGGAAGGTACTTAAAACAGGCCATTTTTCGATTTTCCCAGCAAATTTGAATAACATAGGATAACCAGGAAAAACGGGAAAATCGGTACAATATTAAACAAATATTATTAAAGAAAATATATAGTGCCTATTTAATTATTTTACCATAATATGGCATATATATTGTTGACAAAACATCACTATCAACTGAACTGCACTCAGAATCGTTTTTCGTTAATAATGGCTTATCGTTGCTTACAGATATTCATTTAATTACCTATAACAGTGACTACACCCGTTTCCATTATCCTAAGACGTTTTTTTTTATTACACTGTTTGAAAGAATACTTCTTAAGCTACTTATGTGTGAAATAAAAAGTTGTCCGCTGGTTTTTCTTCTATTTTTCCTAGTCCGTCAAGTGTCTGCCCGCTTATTGTGCCACACGTCACATTTTATTTTATTTTTAAGCGCCTTTTAGTTTACTTTCCTTCGTGTGTTTGTGCCTATTTATTGCCTGTCTAACGCCTACATATAAATTTTAGGCACCACTGGGCTTCCTTATCAAATATTGCAAGCAGAACGCAAGGTTTATTGATAATAAAATAATTATCTCATATCTATAAACACTGAGCGGAACATACGTTGTGAAATTATTTCTAGGTTATTTAAATTCAACGTACTATTTTTTACAGTATTAAACTACATACATTCATTACCTATTACAATATAAACGTTTTAAATGTTTCGTTTTTGTTTTAGCCGTTGTCATATATAATATATATACCTATAAGGTGTTTTACCTGCGGGAAGGTAATCGCTAACAAGTGGGAGTCTTATCTCGGCTTGTTGCAAGCTGAATACACAGAAGGGTGAATTGTATTATTATAATTTAATCATCAAATAATCAATTCTTAAATTTGTCTTCTGTTACATGACCAATGGTTTAACTACATATTAGTACTTGGCTACACATTACGTGGTCAACTAAATTAATAAAAGTACCTCTTTATATTGGTATAATTATTAAGACATGGGATCCACCAAACTCACTAAAAGTCCTATTAAAAATAATAATAATGATATATTAAATTTAAGACTCAAGGAGCTCAATTAAGAGAACACCAAACAATTTATGAACTATTAAAAATGTTAGTTATTTAAAAAACTAAAAAAAAAAAAAAGTTTTTATCTTTTATATCAGTATAACTTTTATAGCTGTATATTTAGGATACAAAAAATTTGATGACAAAATATTCTCTATAAATTTCATAACTGGTACTAGTGTGGTAGGTACTTTTACTCTAAAGTTAAATTTAAACTAATTTTACTTAGTCTTCATGAGTATTGTTTATGCATATTGCTTGGTGTTTGGACTGAGACAGTAAATGCAGTCGTAGCGTCTTCTTAAACAAATAAATATACTAGCCCTATGTTGGCCATACATTTATATCTAAATGCATTAATGGGCCATTCTTTAATTAAAATAATTGAAATATAAAGAATTTATTTTATACATTTTCACTTGAAGTTGACATGTTGTACATTGTACAGAATTATTATGGTTTATTAGACTTTGTATTAACCTATGTGGCAATTTACATATTCTTTTTGTTTTGATATTTATCTCTTCAAAATTTACCTACATAATATTATAGTCTTGTAACTATTTTAGATTCTGAATGTAGTGAAGCATGTATTGGTTTTACAAAGATGTTTATATATATGTATATATTTTTTTTAATGTGAACACTACCAGAAAGCTTACCTCAATGTATATAATGTAGACCCTTTTTCTGAAAGTAAATTTTTTTTGGCTGGTACTTTAGGGAGGTCATTTTTTGATTTTTCCAGGTGTAGTTTTCAACAAATCGAAAAAAAAACAGAAAAATCTATACAAAATTAAACAAATATTATTAAAGAAAATTATAATGCCTATTTAATTATTTTACCATAATATGATATATATGTATATTGTTGACAAAGCATCACTAACAACTGATGAACTCAGCTCAGAATCGTTTTATCGTTGCTTACAGAAATTAAATTCTCTTCTGTATCCTATCTTCCCAACTTTCCATCTATAACAGTAGCTGCACCTGTCCCCATTATTTAAGGACAGGCTTTTTATTTTTTCTGATTTTCATTAATTTATAATTTTTTTTTCTTTTGTTTTACATGGCAATAATAGCCACTGGTCTCCTTGAATTACTGTCATGTTCTTCAATTTGGATCCCAAATTGTCTTCTATTTGACATAATATTATTATGTAATTTGGTGCTTATTAATAATGTCCTATATAAAATAGTTGTTGAAATGTCCCAAAATATGTTCAAGAACATATAAATATTAAATATACAAACAATAAGACTTATAATTTGGCAAAATATAGTTGGCTATTTAATTATTATAATTAATACCTATAATACTTTTACATTTTAATATTACTTTAAATCTCCTGAGTTTACTTTACATTGTTACTTAAATGTTAGATATAATTATTATATTTAATCATGTTTATAATTTTTATTATTTTGCTTTCAGGGATGCTTTAGATGCCCTTGGACTAAAGCGGTATTGTTGCAGAAGGATGCTCCTTGGTCATGTCGACTTAATCGAAAAGTTACTTAATTACTCTCCTTTAGAAAAATAAATTAAAAACCAATTAAATAAATAATAAAATGTATTTTGTTTTGTATTTTAATTTTTTTAGATTCTGAGTGAAGCGAGGAATGTATTGCTTATAAAATTGTGTATATTCATTTTTTTAATGTGAACACCTTTTCTGAAAGGAAATGTTCTCTGGGTAGTACTTTAGAGAGGTCATTTTTTCAAATTCTTATGAATATTTGAGATAATGAGGAAAACATACGTTTTTAGGTTAAAAAAGATTTAAAGATTAAAAATAAGGTTGTCATTAGAAACTATTATTATTTAGAAGTTTAGAAGTTTTATGATACGACAATAGTCCATCATACATCTTCACTAGTAATTAATTTTTTATGTAATAATTAATAATATAATATATAGGGGCCCCCTTCCAGACATATATTTTCGATTTTTGTATGAGAATTGAATGAGAAAATATAAACATAATGTATTATATTATATTTAATTGAATTTGTGTTGTAAAAAAAATATTTGGCGCTCTCCAGATCTTTGCTTTGGATCATTGCCTGGTCATACCCCATATATAGTGAAGTTAATAGCCTTTANAATACAATTCATAAAAATAATATTTCTGGTTTTTATGATCACGTGGGATAAAATCCATACAGCATTGTTTACGTATACTTTCCAATACATTTGGAATTAAATGATTAAAATATTGTAATAAATAATTTTTTATTAAAAAAAATTAAAATTTCAAAAAATCTTCACTTTACAGTTATTATTATTTATATAAATATTTTTAAGTAGCAAAATAGATTCTTTAAAATTATTTACTGTGTGAACATATTATACATATTATATTATGTGATATGGGTAAAGTGTACAAATTTTGAAGAGAGAGCAATGTGTAAGCATTTTAATGTACAATGAAGTTGTCAAGAAAACATTAAAAGTTTTTATATTTACAAAATTAATAGTATTATATACGTCTATACGACCTAGGTGTTGTATATTATATACACAGAGGTTTTTTTAGAGGTACTCGATTATTTATTCAGTAGGTATTCGAGACAGTAAATAAAATTTATATAATAATATTACGTTTATGCTCCGAATATAAAAATTTTCATTTCGTAGTGTCGTTGTCACTTGTGGACTGTGGTCTTGTCGGTAAGTTGTCACAGATTAATTACATCAACGCAACTATATTATTATTATAATAATTATTGACACCTTGATTTGGTAGTATTTTTAGATAAGATCTAATCTTTAGTATTATCAAAACGATAATAATTGATAAAAGGTCATAGTCCTATATGAAGTGCAGTGCACGCTAGTTAGCAATCTAGTTTATTATCTATATCTGTGTTTATAACACAGTTTATTTGTTATGTCATAATATGTGCTACGGTGTATCATTAATCGTGATTAATAATTTGTTTATGGTATTATCACAAATGATATGGTAAAACTTATAGTTCAATGCAAGAAACATACAATATAATCTGTAGTATTATCATGATTTGATTACTTATTTTTTTGAAATCTCTAACGTGGTGACACTGCGTGTCCGTCTGAGTATATTATGTCTACTCTCTTTGGTAAATAATCATTTTCAACGTTTTGGCAACATAGCAAATGATAATCAAAATTTGAGAATCGTCTATTCATCTTCGTGTTTTGTATTGTCGTTGTTGGTCTCGATATTGAATTATTATATTGATGATCAGTAAAACATTTTTAAATTAAATTAAATTGTATTTTGGTGTTTTCGTATCAAATAAATATCTAGGTGGATCGAATACCAATTCGATTAAAATGGTAAGTTGAATTGAATCATTGAAATATTGTTTTTAAAATAATCTTCAATGTAATAACATTATAAATTGTATTTGTAAAGAAAAAAAATTATTTTAATAATATTGTTTAGGGTCAAAGTCATTCAGGTGGTGGTGGAGCTGGTGGTGATAAAAAAGATGACAAGGACAAGAAGAAGAAGTACGAACCACCAATTCCAACCAGAGTGGGCAAGAAAAGGAAGCGTGCTAAGGGTCCAGACACGGCTACAAAACTACCAATAAGTATGTATACTAGTATATAAGTATATAAGTATTGTGTACTATCAGAATTCTAATTTTGTATTAATCAAATTTATTTTGTAGTTACTCCACATACTAGATGTCGTTTGAAGTTGTTGAAATTAGAGCGTGTCAAGGATTATTTAATGATGGAAGAAGAATTTATTTTGAACCAAGAAAGACTCAAGCCACAAGAGGAAAGGAATGAAGTAAATATTTATGAAATACCAGAAAAATCTAGTTTAATTACCTATGCTTATTTTTCAATATATGTGTTTTATGGTGCTGATTCTGAAATTGTTTGTAAACAATTTCACTTTTGGATATATAGGTACCTATATTTATAATTTAAAACTTATGTTTACTGTTAAAAATCTACTTTCTACTTATTCTGACCGTACTTTTATTGTATGTGACGATTTTAATCTTCCAAGACCAGAGGAGGTTTTATGATCTGTTAATTGCAATGGTCTCATCTATTCCTCTACATGGGATTCTCGTATTAATGTTTCCCTAAGGTTTATACAGTTAATCAATTTGGTATAAGTCTAATTTACCAGACACCTTTTTTTTACCAATTTTTTTTTTAAATATGTGTTTTTTGATGATGATTTCAGAACTGTTTGAATTTTTTTGCAGAAATCATTATTAAAGAACTCATGAAAGTTTTGAAGTATGTTTTTATTACAGGTTTTGTATAAATACCTAATTTTATATTCATTTACTTACATTAGACGTATTGGGTAACACGTCAGTAATAGAATGCAGTATCAAGTTTGATAATGTCAAATGTGCAATACATTTTTGCACTTGTATTATAAAAAAACACTCACCTAATTTACAAAAAACATTTAAACATTTTGATTTTGCCACAAGTTTACCCCAATTAAATTTTTCCTAATTATCTACACGACATGGTATTGCACAACAAAGCAAGGGTTCTTTTCATTTAAAATAGTCCGAGTGAGTGAATGAGTGATCCTGTTGGGTCTCTAGGGGCACCTATAATGCTAATATAATAAACTTCAGATTTCCATAACTTCTTTAAATAATAATTTCTGCAAAAAAATCCAAACAGTTCTAAAATCAGCAAACACATATTAATAGAAAAATTCAAAAACAAATTGTGTTTAGTGAACTAAAATTGTTTCATCATTTCTATTAGACTATTAGATTAACAATGTTTCTAATGTTTCTGAGTCATTTATAGATTTTATCTTTTTGAGCCATTATCAGTTCAATGGCAATGCTGTTTTGAATACATTAGTGTCCGAAGTATTATCAAACATTGTCTATTGACTTAATTCCAGTTATCAACAGTTGCATGTAGTTGATACTTCTCATTATTTTTATAATTTCTGCACAGTTGACTACTCGTTAATTTGTTTTTGTTCTCATTTAATTGGTTAGAAACCATACCAAACTTATATGCTAATTCTGTTGCATTGCATGTGTGTATTTTGCGCCACTTACTATGTATAGAATAGACCAGATGTAATTTTCCTATTTATTAGCATACATTATTTTTTTTATGAATTAATGATTTGGTGTTTCAAAAAGAAAGCTCACTTTATTTTGAAGTATTTTCTAAACATGAAATATTATCGTAGGTTTTTTTTCTTCAGATTAAATATAAATATTTAAGTAATGTTGCAGGAAATCTACTCAGTTTCACTGAGGCTACATTTTGGGTTAACCTATTTATATTCTGGAACTTTAAGGTAAAATGAATCTAGTCAGTTAATCCAAAAGACTGTTAAATTAAATGTTGTTGCTAGTAATAATATATTAAACTTATTTTACAAAAATTTTAATATTCTAGCGCTAATGTAATACGTATGCTATCAGATTTCTAAGTTTTCCTTTATAGCTATTCCGTAAATCTTTTGATTCTGGAAACTACCCAGAAATTCTTAAATTTAAATTAAATTAAAAAGCAGCACAGATTTAGCTCACATTGTTTAGTTATTTTGTGTTTACTAACTACGTGTTTGATGTTTTTGAAAGTAAAAATTAGGTTGATGTTATTTTCACTGATTTTTAAAAAAAGTTTTGATAGGGTAAATAATGTTGCATTATTGAAAGTCCTTATGAGCTTTGGTTTTAGAGAAACTTAGTTAAGGTTTACCTCTTATTTGTGTTACTAATTTGCTTTAAACAAAAAAGCCTCTAATTGTTTTCATAATAATGTCTTCTATTCAATATTTAATTAAATTAAATATTAATAATGGAAAATCAAGGACTTTTGAGACCTTCACAGTTAGCATTTTATTATTAATGAGATATTTATGTATTTTATATCATAGAAACTCATTTTTAAATTGTTTGATCTCTAAAAGTTTTCTAAAAAAGTTCTATTAATTAGTATAGCTTGCAATAATTTAATGTCATAGTACATACTGAAAATATAGATACAATATCATATCATTGATGTTCTAACTATAGTTATCAATTAAAATTTAAATATTTTGTATTGTTATCTAATGCAATGTTTATATTATTTCAGGAAGAACGTTCAAGAGTAGATGATTTACGTGGAAGCCCTATGTCTGTTGGCACACTGGAAGAAATAATTGATGACAATCACGCAATTGTATCAACGTCTGTTGGAAGTGAACATTATGTTAGCATATTGTCATTTGTTGACAAAGATCAGCTGGAACCTGGTTGCTCCGTATTACTCAACCACAAAGTAAATCAAATTAATTTCTAAAATTTAATTGTTATTTTATGTTTATCATTATACTAATTTTAGGTCCACGCAGTTGTTGGAGTACTATCTGACGATACAGATCCGATGGTAACAGTAATGAAACTTGAAAAGGCACCACAAGAAACATATGGTGATATTGGTGGTTTGGACCAACAAATACAAGAAATTAAAGAGTCTGTTGAACTCCCACTAACCCATCCTGAGTATTACGAAGAAATGGGTATTAAACCTCCAAAAGGAGTTATCCTGTACGGACCTCCTGGAACGGGAAAAACACTTTTAGCTAAAGCTGTTGCCAATCAAACTTCAGCCACATTTTTGAGAGTGGTTGGGTCCGAACTTATTCAAAAGTATTTGGTAAGATTTAGTTAAATGATTATTATTTACTAAAAATACACTGTTTATACATATTATGTATACAGTGGAAGTGTTGAATAATGTTATTTTAAGAAATTACTAGGTAGTTTATGAATTAAATGAGGAAAAAAACGATTATACAATCTTACCTAGTTTAGTTATTTTATGGAATCTATAGATATTATATTTAATTTTAATTTAATTTCCTTTGAAAGTATAGAATATATGCACTTTTAAAATGGTAACTCGTACAAAATGATATTTTAAAATAAATTACTTTTATAAATATTATTATGAACTTTCACATTTTTAGTGAACTAATTATATTTAATTTACAAAAACTCGCCGTTTTGTTTACCATGATGATGTGTTTTGTGTAGGCCATTGGTAAAGTACTTACACTCTTGAAAAACACTGGTTTAATAATATTTGAAATAATAAAGTAGAGAATAACAAAATGTTGACATCCAACAGTAAGAAGACTTTTTAAGAGATTTTGTATAAAAGTTATTTAATAAGATAATCCTATAATAACATGATAATCATGCTGAATTGAAGAAAAAAGCCCCATTATTGTAAATTAATACTTTTAAATTAATTTTTCTAAAAAAAATTTCTGGAACTCAAAATAAAAAAAACAACTAAACTAATATTGTATAATTCTGGAATGTAATATTATAATAATCTATACCCGATCACTTATGTGTTTATTTCTTTTCACTTCTATAGTACATATGTACTATTTTTGTTTTATTTAAGTGGTTTTTTTCCGATTCATTATTTTATTTAATTGTATATAATGTGTATTAATTTACAACAGGGCTTTTTTTTTCTTCTTACCTACATACTACATGATCTTTATAGTGGTCGTTAACCTTTTTGACTTCATGGACCACTAAAATCATAACTGTAAATTCTACTAACCACTATAAAGTTTATAGTGTTTATACTACATATCAAGGGTCCTTATTCCGATGTTTTGAACCTGCAGCCTTTTTTACATAATTAATGTTCTACAAATAAAAAAAAAAAATACGTTTATAAAATAATAATAAAGAATTTTTTATTTTTTATCTATAAGACAATTTATTAAGTTTTTAAGTTTTTCTGCGGTCATCAAAATTTTCTCGTGGACCACCGGTTGGTGACCACTGATCTACCTAAATGATATAAGTATTAGGTGTTATGAAATTGATGATACTTTATTTCAGGGGTGGCCCTTTTTTTTGGTAGATCTACTAAGAATATATTTCCACTTTCTAACAAAAAAGGAAAATTATAAATTATCTAATAGGTATTATTAGTACACATACATGTACTATTATTAAAACTAACAATATTATTGTAAATACAATTGCTAGAATAAACTCTGTTGAATTGTATTAATTGATAAATTTACAACAAATTAGAGATAATGTATTAAGATAAAAATGATCAAAAATTGTTATTTATTTACTAATTACATTAAAATAAATTCTAACACAATGGAGATCGACATTTAAATCAACTAACTTAACCTAACCTAATCTGATAGTTTGGCCACCCTTGCCTTATCTGATCTACAATTTTATTGGAAAAAGATGAATAATATTGTACAATTTAACATATTAACGGTGTAAGAAATAAAAATGTATAAAGTACATTGTAATTATTACATTTCAATAACCTAGTTATTTCATAAATTAACTGATTCAATACTTTAACAGTAACATGTATAATAAATCTATAGGGAGATGGTCCTAAATTAGTGAGAGAACTGTTTCGTGTTGCTGAAGAACACGCACCATCTATAGTATTTATTGATGAAATTGATGCAGTTGGTACTAAACGTTATGATTCAAACTCCGGTGGTGAACGTGAAATTCAACGTACTATGTTGGAACTTCTTAATCAATTGGATGGTTTTGATTCTAGGGGTGATGTTAAGGTAAATAATAAGGTCTTATTGGAATTTATGAATGTTCATAACCTTGTATTTATTCTATAGGTAGTCATGGCTACAAATCGTATCGAGACTTTGGATCCTGCCTTGATTCGTCCTGGTCGTATCGATCGTAAAATCGAGTTTCCATTGCCAGATGAAAAGACTAAACGTCGTATATTCAACATCCATACTTCAAGAATGACATTGGCGGAAGGAGTGAATCTGCAAGAACTCATTATGGCTAAGGATGATCTTTCTGGTGCTGACATAAAAGTAAATATATGTTCAATTATTGTTTTGTTTCAAGTATGTACAAAATAAAATTATATAGTTAAATTATAAGGTCTTAGTCAATTTGAAACTAAATTTTTTGAATAATCATTATATTTATTATTACAAAGATGTCATACTTAAAGTTTGCTTGTTAATATTTTTATTCATAATCAAACAAACAAATATAAAAGCTTATTAGATATTCATCATTTTAGTACAGATTTGATTTACCTACCTCATGTAAGCTGTATAGCTTAATAGAGCTTTTGTTGGAGATAGGGAGTTATGATTATTACTAAGCAATGATAAATATAAATGATAAAATTAATCAAATGAAAATTGAGAAAACATTTTTTTTTTTGATAATCAATAATAATATGTTGAAGGATTGTCATTACTCACATTAGACTTTTGAATGAAATAATTGCATAATATATTTTTCTTTAGTTCTATATTTGAACTTAAATTCATTATGTATAATTTTTGAATTAGATGATAAATTGTTAAATAAGTTTAATCCTATATATATATATACAAGTGTTGCATTAGGTTTATTTATTAATAAGAATTGATTAGCAGTATTCCTTGTATTTTTACTATTTTGAATTTTAAAATTTGTTTTTTTTTTTTTGAATTTCTATAAATGATGTTTTTCCGAATAATTGATCCAGAGTTAGGATTTCTAGCATTCTGAATAAATCGACAGTATTATAATTTTGTTCGTAATATTGTTTTAGTAATATTCTAATCGAAATTCTGTGAGCAACATTTAGTGGTTTCAATGCATTACTGTAAGTGGACCCCACACAATTAGTCCATAAGTCAATATAGATTGAAATAATGAGAGGTATATTATTCTGCTGGTATTGATATCAATAATATTGCGTAATTCTCTAAACAAATAAAAACATTTTCTTGTTTGTGTAATCACACTATGCATGTCAGTTACTCATTTTACGTGTTCATCAAAACGTTCACCTAAGTATTCAGTGGAGTGTATTCTGTTAATATTCATATAATATTTATTTGCAAAACTCTTGATTATTTTCATGAAAACATTTATTTATGTAAGCACAATTTCATTCAGAGAATTCACTTTAGATAAAGAGAACATAATAAATACGGATTTGTTATTATTTAATGATAAACTATTGTTAGTGGTACCATTTATTTATTTGTATTATAATATAATTAAATTAAATTAATTTTTAATTGTTGTTACTATAATATTGATCCTCTTTATTATGAATTTTATTTTTTTTAAATTGATGGGTTATTTTTTAAAACTTCATTTAACAAATTGAATCTAGTTCTGTTAATTTAAAAGGTTGTTTTTTTAAACTTGTTTACAACAAATTTCAGTAATTAATTTTAACAACAAACATTACTAGTTTTTTTTACTAACACAATTTTAACAGTTTAATGTTTGTTTCATAATAGTTTATTGTCAAGTGAAAAAAGTGATAGTAAATTACTGTTTCTGATTTTTAAAATTATTTTTAACACCAAGATTAAAAACAGGATAATGCAATTGATATTATCAGTTTTAAAACATCTAAATTTAATTTGTAAAATAATTAACAAGTACTAATTGATTTATTTTGATTATAGGCTATTTGTACTGAAGCAGGATTGATGGCTCTTCGTGAACGTCGTATGAAAGTTACTAATGAAGATTTCAAGAAATCCAAAGAAAGTGTTTTGTACCGTAAGAAGGAGGGCACTCCTGAAGGATTATATTTGTAATTTTTTTATCAAAATTACTTGTGGTTAAATAAATATTGGTGTATAATGTATATATATACTAATTTGTATACACTATTTCATTATTTAAGTGTTGACAAGAAACATAATTTGAATAACCAAATTTAATCTTTAAGGCATTTTTTAGATCCTTAGTAGGATTCAATTCACAATATTCAGTGTATTACCTACTTTTAATTATATTAAATTAAATTAATTCTTTGTCCGCTTTTTTTTATTTAATATACTGTTTTTTTTTCTATACATGATTGATAGAATATTTTAAATTATAATTAATAAACTAGTCTAATATAATATATGTAGATTTTTTTAATTTTGGTTAATGAACTTTTATTTAGCGAATAATGTGTAAACACACATAAATTCAAAACCATACATTTTAAATGAAAAAAATTAAGTAATAAAGTTATATAAAAATTATCTGATAATTTAATTTCATGTTTAAGCTTTGTTTAGTTTGCATATAATTTTTAAACCCCAATATCTTAAATAATATAGAACACAATCAATAATTAAACTAAATTTTAATAAAACAACTCAACAAAAGGTAATGTTTATAATTGTTTACATATTATTTCTAAATATCAAATAAAATACAAAACTGATAATAATTTAAAGCAATGTTTTTACTGTTGAGTTCTGATAAATCAAGTGTACACTTGTTTGATTATTACTCATATTGTTTATTTTTTAAGACAGTGATGATATAAATGTTTAAAATAATATAGTTTATGAATAATATTTTCTGTGAACAACAGATATATTCAACTAATGTATGTAAAACCATAGAAGTTCAATATTTGATATTACAATTATTATTGTAGTTGTTAATTATAAATATTATTGTTTTATTTTATACCACTATTATTGTGTAACTAATTCAAATTTGTTCTACAATTTATTATGAAATATTATTGTTAACCAATGTAGAATCCCAATTTTTGTCGTTATCGCAAGTAAGTTTTTCTTTACATCTATCTTTTTAGTTATGGATTATTTAACTTTTAATTGTATTGAGTCTTTACTGCATACTATAACCAAACCATAATAATATGTTTACATGCTTTCAAATGTCTGAAAGTATTCAATAATGAGCAATGACTATAGTTTTAAAACATATTTTAATCACTTGCTTCTATTGCTATCATCGTATTATTGATGATGTTAGAACTATATTAGTAACACTGTATTACACAGTTTAGTCTCTAAAAATACATAATTTATTGTTTTTTAGTAAGTGCTCATATATTTATGTTGTGCAGATACACATAATATAGCACTTTAGTCGATTAAACTATATTACAATAACTGAGTTTTTTTTACCTAGACGAATATATTAATACAAATGGTAAATTATGTTTTCTTAGTAATACATTAAAACCTGAACAATTTTCAAAAACTATTTAAATATTAAAGGGTTTTGGATATTTGATTTACTGTGAGAAACTCGCGGCTTTGAAACGATACTTGATTATCCGAAGGCTCACAGGGCTTACCAGTATATCAGTGGGATAGTTCCCAGATGTATATGTCAATGATTAGAAAATATGTTGAGTTGGGAATTTGAAACCAACTCGCATCTCCCAACAGAATGTGAATCAATTACCATAGATCAAACCTGGAGAATAACTTTAAAATATTATAAAAGTTAGTAACTTTTTAACTTGTAGGTTACTTTTAGTTTTCTTGTAATTTGTGACTTAATGAGTTACTTTTGTCTGTGTGTAAGACTACCTTAGATTTGAATTTGAATTTAAAAAATAACTAGGTAGTTTTCATTTTTTTGTCACTGATACCTCAGAAATTTTTTTCTGAGGGTATCAACATGCACCTATCATGTTAAACAAAAAAAAAATCCCAGTACAAACATAAAAGATTTATCTACTATACTTCAAAAAGCGTACATATAATTTAGTATATCAATCCCATCTAGCGCTAAGAGATTATTGTTTGATGACTGAAGAGGATCCATGGCTAATTCAAAGTTTGTAAAAAAAATACTATTAAAACACTATATATTATACATTTTGACTAATAACTATTCAATTTCAAGTATTTAAAACAATAAAAGCTAATTAAAAATGTAACTTGTTTTTTTCGGATTCAGTATCCAGGGTAACTTAACTGGTTCTATTTGTATTTTTTAGGAACTGGTAACTGTAACCAAGTAATGAGTTATTTAAGAGGACCGTTACGCATGTATTTGTTGTTTCTGTCTTACAAATACACAAGATATAATTAGAAAATATGCTTTCACAGACTATACAGAATACTCAGAAGTTTTCGTTCTAGAATTAAAAGCATCTATTACGAAATTTGTTAATTTGAGAACAATATTTCGAAGGGCAAGATATGATTTTTTTTAGTGACATTATTAAAACGTGACTGACAGTTGATATTCGGGAAATATGGAAAAGCGCATAGTTATGATATCGGGTATTCTGTTTAATTTTTGATGTTTCTAACAGGTGTATATCACGTAGATGAATTCATGAGACTTTCACCAGAACCGTGGGTTTGGTTGATAGCATCAAATATATTAACCATAAATTGTACTTAAGTGGGTAAGATTGATCAAGCGTTTATGAGCCCGTTAGGGCCTGCAAAAATTGCCTATGCGGACAGTGTTTCATGTCCACATGGCGGGGTATTGGTTAAAGTTTTCAACTAGCAATAATCGCACCTCGGATAGACCTCATTGGTTACGATATCGCCACTGCGCAAAGCTAAAGATTTCGACGGTTTCGAGCCATCTTATAAACGCGGTTACTTGCCGTCTGTTTGCAGTAGACCGATTTGTGTCTGCCGTACATGGCCGTGTTGGGCCTATTTTTGACACTTTTCGAGCGTCTGCTCGAGTCCGAGGCCATCAATACTCCAATATCGTCCGTTGCGACGACTTTTGAGTGTTTAAACGCTGACATTCTTCGGGCGGACCGCAAAAGCCGTTGTTCGACGATAACCTATCGAGCAATTAGCGCGCTCTACCGGAACGTTTCGGCGGTGGTGCGAACGGACGTCTACTGTGTTGCGACGAACTGCACTAACGGAGTAATGTGAAAATGCGGCCGATCGCGCCGTGTGATATCCGTCGGTAATCGACTAAAGTCAGAACAGAACGATGTCGTTTTCAACGATCCGCTTATTCGATCGACATTGTAATTTATATGTTATTTCAACTAAACGGTTTACTAGAAATGTATACCCGATTCCAGGCTGTGAGTTTCACTCGTATCCGGTCGGGTGTTTGGTGATTTATTCACAAAATAATCATAAATGGTGTTTAGCGCGCTCTATCGTTAATGTAAATAAACGCATTCACAACGAGTTAAATCAAGGAATTCGAAACTCCCCTCGACGAACAGTTATCGAGATGGCATTTTAACGGTTTATGCGATTAATGATTTTACTGCAAAGAAGAGAAAAAAAAAATAACTTTAAATTGTTTATGCGAATATGATCACAACTGCTTTCCGGAAGAAAGACCGATAACATGCGTTGGTAATAGTACGCCTTTTTAATCGAGCCGTATTTTTAAATTACACCTAATATTTTGTTTTCCGATTATCGAATAGTCGTCAAACAGCAGTTAATTGAAACTTGGATTTTTAAAATGCACGATGACGTCTAATAAGTAGCAAATAAGTAATGGTACCCACCGTCATCTGACGTACTGTTATTGCAGCCGCACTGTCTGAAGACAATAATTGACAGTGTTCAATGGGTGTCTGAAATTGCGCGATTTCGTTGGGCTGTTTGATTTTCTTTTATAACCTAGCGGAAATAAATTATACCAATCATTATAACACACGCAACCTAACCTATGGTGATTTGTATTGTGCCGTTTATTTTTCACGCCGGAACACCGCTCAAACGGCTGTTGTTTTGTATCGACGTTATAATGACGTGATATAAGACCGTTGCGAGTGGCCTGCAGATCCAAGACGTTCGGGACGCGAACGATTCGAATATTCAATTATTATTTATCGCGTTATTCCCGATGTGTAAGTCGTCGTCGTCGTCGTTCGCACGAGCGCAGTGCGATCTGGCGGTCGTATACGGCGTAATGTGCACGTCTTGTCCGCGATGCCGCGCCTTCGCGCGAACGCCAATCGTCCGGGCCGGCATTTGCCGTCCGTCACCGTGAACCGCCGGTCTTGACCATATCTTACGGCGTTAGACACACGTGCGGTCAGGTCGGTCCCGGATTCACCCGATTTCAGCCCGTGGCCTTGCCGAACGGTCGCCGACGGACCGATCCGTGGACCCGTGTCGAACACATCGGCCCGGTTCGAGACGTCCGAAAAATGCTTATATACGGGCCCGTCACCGCGTCTCATTTACCTATCGACCAATGGCCCGCTAATAACCATAACGCGCGGCCGTTGGTCAGATTAATTTATCGAGTACAGGCCGTTCACTTGAGCGGCCTCCACGTCATCAGAATTGGAACTCAGACGACAGCCTGTGATCGTAGGTTTTAACGTTGTCAAACGGGACTATACGTAGATCCTCTTCCATGAGAAAAAATATCACCTTCTAAATGGATCGAAATTGTTATCGTACTCCTGCATCACCGATCCGGCCTCCGTACCGTTGTGTTGTGTCGTTCGTATTGAAAATCACACCGACACCGATGTTCGTTTTTTTAATTTTGCGTCAGTGACCATAAAATTGTGAACCAATCGTTTTATACTGGAAAAATGTATATTGATGAGCAATTCCACATGTTAATTGACGTGTAGTACTCGTACTATGTCGGCTCAATTATCAAAAATCAAAAAAATTTCGTTCTAGTAGACAAAACGTTACGAAGTTGTGTTTTTCTTTAATGTCAAACTGGCATTTTTCCCCCAATAGCCTTCATTGGACCGGGGGGGGGGAGGGGGAGGGACCGCGTGAGCATTGTTTTTCCCATGTTAAATTGGCCTAAACTCCAAACGCCATTATCCGCTAGATAGCAGCGCATAATTTGTTTTGACTTTGGTATTTTAATTATTAATTTCAAGGCAAGAATAGCCCAATCTATTAATTTATTATTAAACCAAATAGATTTATTAAGGGAATACGTATTGAATACCAGAATAATATAATTCTGTTTGTAATATTTTTAATAAATATCGTTTCATAAAAAAGTAAATATTTTGGACTCTGAGTGTAGCGAAGAATGTATTGGTTTTACAAAGATGTTTATTTTTTTAATGTTTTTTTTTTCATACTGTGTACAAAAATTCTATCAGAAATCTTAATCTAAAGTATGCGATATAGACCCTTTATTGAAATTGAATTTTCTTTGGGGTGGTACTTTAGGGATGTCAATTTTCGATTTTCTCAGGAGTTTTCTCATCAAACGCGAAATAACGAAAAAAAACCGAGGGAAAACGGGAAAATATACGAAATATATTAGTAAAATATTATGATTTTTTTTTTCTATGGACAATTTTTCTACCAGGAATTTTGCTTTGATAGCACTTTTTATAATTTCTAATTTTATTTCATTATTTTATCATAATATGACATATATATATATATATTGTTTACAAAGTATCACTATCAACTGAACTCAGTTCAGAATCGTTTTTAATAAGCAATGGTTTATCGTTGCTTACAGATACAAATTAATTTCTCCTATATATTTTACCTTCCTATATTCTCACCAAAAACAGGGGCTGCACCCGTCTTCATTATCCTAGAACAGCTTTTTATTTTTAACCCTCACATCCCATTTCCATATTTATTGATTACTATAAAATTATCATTGAAGTATTTTTTTTTCATGTTTCAGGTTTGGCATTAGTTGCGTATCAAGAATATTTGTATGAGGGTTCTATTGTATTCCGTACATAGTTGTGCACACGAGAAGGGGGTAATTGCCCCTCCTGCGGGATACATTTTTCTTATTAAATTAACTTTTAACCAAAATTATATTAAATTATATTAAATATAATATATTATAATAATGTACATATATATTCTGCCTCCTGCCAGCAAAGCCTGCGCACGCTTATGATTCTGTATAGACCACCTTGATTGTATGACCTTTTTTCAGTCCTAAAAACTAATGTGCTTAATATTCAAATGGATAACTATAAGCGAAAACTTAAAAAACACACATATAAAACAAATTTCTTTATTATATTTGAAAATAATCTTCTCTGTAATAATAATAATGAAAAAATAAATGTTTAAACGAAAAATTAATATTCTATCACATAATCTTTATAAAATATAATCGATGAACGAAAAATCAATATAAATTATTTGGTAATTTTGACCAATCTTCTAACTCTATCGTTCTTTCTTTTTCGTACAAACGTGGCAATATATTAGTTTATATCTATCACTATCTGTTTGTGTGTGTTTAACATGGCCAAACTGTTTAGACGTAATTCAGGCATAGTGGATCGTAAGTAATTTTTTAACCTTTTTAAAGTTGAGAAAGATCCGGTGTGGCTGTAGAAACCTGTAACTTGGTAAAAAGTATTTTGATGTTGAGAAAAAATTCACACTGCAGTGTTCTAATGTTTCAACTGTAATTTGTGTATTTCTTTAAATTTTGGCCCACTTATTTTTCCACAAATTTATTTCTGCTTTCAATTCTAAATCCGAATTCTCAATATCTTCACAATAAAATTCGGTAGTAGAAAAGTTGTTCGCAGAACAAAAAATGCCGAAATATTTGTCATCTAATACATACATTTCTCACATTTTCCAGTTTGTCCTACGTTTTTTTTCAGTTTTTCACATTTAATTGTAAAACTTCTCAGAAAATCGAAAAATGACCTCTATAAAGTACTTCCCCTGTCAGATTTTCTTTTAGAAAAGTTGCTACACTTAATAATAGCGGTAAGATTTTTGGTAGAAAAGTTGCGCACAGATAAAAAAAAAAAAAACATATTTGTAAAACTATGGAATTTACTGTGGTTTTGAGAATGTATTTGAGACTGCATCACTATAAAATTGTTTTGGAATCAGAAGAACGGCCTTTTATGGATCTCGTGTGCATAACGAGTTATTAGAAATCTACAAGTTACAACTACATCGACTTGATTCAATGCAGTATGTTTATATCTTTTAATCATAGAAAACAAATTTCTTCAAAGATTTGATTATTGGGGTATAATGTTATAATTAAAAACATTTAAATATTCTATATTCTAGGTAAATATTTTTAATACAAAAGATTAATGAAATTCTCATCGACACATTACAATTGTTTTACTTGGTTTTATTGTACATAGGTTTGTTTTGATACAATCGTTTACTGAAACAATAGGTTACACTGGTTATACGGTTACATTGTTTACTAAATATATGAAGTGCAAAGGAAATAATTTTATTAATTTTTATAATTTATTATTTTAATATTAGCAATATTATATTCATACGTATTCATATAGTAGAGTACGCATACACTATACATTCTTGTATTTTATATTATGACTGCAAGTGACCTGGTAAATAATTACTTGCGACACCGGTAATTGTAAATGAGACGAAAAATATCTTGACCACAAAATGCACTGACATTACGGAGGAGGGGGTTCAGCTTCAAGAATAGATATCATTAGTGTAGATTTATTAAAAGATAATGGTTGAAATCGAATAACACCATTAAATTATTTTTAATAAATGTGTATACAACAAAGAATAATTGTGCCGACTATTTTCAAAGTTGCAATTATTACACCTATTCTTCAAAAATGGTATCTGTTACATAAATATTTGAAAAATAA